CAGTCGGGATTGGATCCAGAAGAAAAAAAACAGATAATCCGGAGGATTGAAGAGGGTGGAACAGATCCATTAAATTTGTTTATTCGTGACTTTCTGACTTGGCTGAAGTTTTCATGTCGTTATTCCCACATGCACGAATACCTTGGAAACGGTATCAGGCAGGACTGATGCAGTAGGAGGGAGACGTATGAGCAGTTGTACAGTAGCTCCGGCGAATACAGCGAGTGACCGCGTTGAAGAAGCGGACGTGTCTCACGATGGATATCATATCAGAGTGGTCGGGGCGAAGAGTGGCCTCGGAGATGGAGCTCGGTGACGGAACCAGCGGGTTCACCCGTAGCAGGTAACCGAGCCTGAGCGCCGCTGATACCTGGAGAGGAGGAGCGGGGGTGTGACTCTCAGCTACAGGCGACCCACGCTGTGTGGCTAGGGGACGCCTGGACGCGGATGAGAGGGGCTGGGCTCTGGGCGCTGCTGCTGACACGGTGGTGGTGAGCGGTGGTGTTGATGGCTAGCTACACCCAGTCTGTGGCTGCTGCACATGGGGTCAACATGGCTGGTGGGACGCTCTTTTCGCCTGAGGACAGCTTCCTTTAGGAGCGTTTTCCTCGCAGTGGACTTGAGCCTCGAGCAGCTAGAGTTTGCTGCAGTGTCCGGGTTTCTGCTGAGGGGGGCGGGATGTCGGTGGAGAGGGCTGCCATAGCGGTTTGCCAGACTCAGGACATTGGGCCACGGCGCAGGATGGATCCTCGGATACCGCGGGCTCGTTATTGTAAGCGGGCGCTTAGGTGTAGAACTCAGGTGGGTCCGGAGCGACGGTCTCTCCCACACGACAGTGTCACATTATGCAGCGATCAAGTGCACCATCAGCCGTGAGTGCTGCCCACCCAGGTCTTCAATAAGTTTGGATTACTAGAGATTGTTTCTCATTTCAACTTGCGGTCGAGACGAAGGATTATTTTCGTAGATCTGCAATGGTGGCACGGTCGCTTTCACGGAGCTCAAGAGTGAGGCGACTAATATTGTGCATGTTTGAGACAAATTTATTGTCACTTTCCATGTCCTCGTTAGTTGTGTTAGCACTCTGTGCTACTTGTGGGTTTTCAGTCGGGGACTTAGTTGCTATTTTGCGGAAACCACTGATTTTAAAAAGATATAAACACTCAGATATATGTAAAAAACTGAACAATTAAAACAGCGCTAAAAAGTTGTAAAAGTTTACTAAAAAGGTGCACAGAGCAGCCCTGCAGTACTGCTTACTGTGACAGACACCTGCGTTGATACTGTGGTGAAACTCGCAAAGCTCTATGGATAATCGCCTGTATTTGGGCATCGTCTGGTCATCCGGTTCTGCGCAGTGGATGATCTCCCATAAATGAGTTGTCGTGCAAACACGCGTGTGTGGGGGTTCACACAGGGTCTCACGCACGTGCACTAGAGGGGATCGGCCGCGCTCTGACCAATCTGAGCTGTTCATAGAGCGGAGTTAGAGCGAGAGCCAGTGGAGTAGGTTTGTGGCACAATGTGTGGATTTATACAACTACACCAGATTGGTATTGTAGAAGTGAAAGAATGTTAAGGATGACAAGGACACTATAAAATCACCACAAATCTATCTTTATTAAAATCTTGTAATGTAGGTTCTCTGTCAGCTGAGGGGTTTTTTCCGCTTTTGACGCTGTTTTAATATGCAGTGGTCTATGGGGAATATTTCTGGGTAGCCCCACGTGAATTTACGTCTGGTTTTCAGGCTGCAGTACCAAGAGAATCCCTGGCACTGTGTTATTCAGATACAAGAATAGTAATACCCTATCCCGTTAATTTTATTACTTCCATGGTCCCTGCTCATGTAGCTTGTCGACGGGGAATGAGCTGGCAGATAGGTGTGCTAAGCAGGCTTAAAGAGGAGGGAGGTTAGAATGCCAGTTCTCATAGTAAGTCTGAGAAAAAGAGTGTATCGTAAATGGGCAAACTATAAGGAATTGGCAGATGCTTGGAAACTTCTGTCCTAAAATGGGAAGGCATTTGTGTTGTATTCTGAAAAAGGGGGGTAAGATGAGGGCATAAGGAACAAAATAAGGAGAATAGAATGATGTAATGTCAAGAATGACGTTTGCCCGTATGTATCAAAGGGAGAGAAAAGTGTTGTAGGAAACGCATTAATAGAGCGATTAAACTCCAAATTAACTTTTTTTGTAACTATTTAAACGCATAAATATGTTAATTTTAGTGCTCTATACATTTCCTGGTCATTTTTTGGACAGTTTAGTTCAATTATATAAATAATCTCACTGTGAGCCAAAAAAAACGTCTGTGTGTCGCCCTCTCTACCTTTTTTGGTCGGTACTTCTTTTGTATTTGGTTTCTGGCCTCTCCATTGACTCGGATATTCTCTATGAAGGTCAGTTGGTTTGTGTGCGTCAGTCCTGTCTGCGCCAAGTGATATAAATCCATTCAACTCTCACACACGCCTAGGTGCCAACTTGAGAACAAAAAATAACACGGGACACATTTGGTGGATCGGTTTGAGCACTTTTTAGTCCAAATTTCAATTTCACAGTAATCATGGTATTTCATAATTACAGAATTGACAACATATAAAATACAAAACAATATGCCTTAGTCAAAAATGAAATTGAATATTGTGGGACTTAATGCATTCTTATTAATAATAAAAAATTATAAAAATTGACAAATGCTGTAACATACATGATTTATGGATATTACAGTAAAGACCATTTACTGTAAAAGCAAATAAAAAAATAAAACATGTATTCATAAAAAAAAAATCACAAATGTTGAAATCAAAGTCTGTAGCAGAGAGTCATGGTCATTATTCTATATTGTCTTAGTGTTTAGTGTTTCATGTAGTTATTTTTGTGTTTTTAGCTTCAGTAAAATGCTATTGTTCGTTTACAAAGTGTTGGATATGTTTTGACGCTCCTAAGCGCTTTTCTCTGGCTTGCCAGTACTCTTGGATTCAATGGATTTCTCGCATTAAAACAACGGCATTGGATTTGAAAAATCAAACATAGAGATGATCATTTTAGCACAGTGACTTTTGTTTTTAACAATAGTAGCTTTCGTGAACTATTGACCTCGGGAGTCCGATATTTAGGATATATGGCGTACTTTACCCATGAAACTTCTGCTGTGATGAAGCTGCGGGATCGGCCTCGCTGAGCCTGGTGCGGGCGGGGGGGGGAGCCAACTTTATTGACCCCTTGCATGTGACGTCCAGGCCATCGCCCACTTCTCATGATGCACGGCAGAATTACTGGAGCCTATGGAAATGACCAAAACAAACCTGTTCAGCGCATTACAGCCAAAACTGTGACATGTGCGTGTTGGTTGTTTATACTAACAGGCAAGGACATTAAGTTTTTTCGCTGCTCTGACCATGTGAACAAGCCGTCTTTTGCTTAAAAATGCTTTAACCTGCAGCACAGTATGGGAAGATTAAAAAAGCAGTTCTCTGTGCGCAAAGGTTCCGAAGCTGTTGCGGGTTTTGGCGCCGCTGTCTCAGCTCTGATCTAGTAGAACGCATAGATAAACTTATGAAAAGTACGCGGCTCGAAATGGCTGCTATTTCAAAGAACGTGGAATATTTTGAACTACGCGGTTAACCGGTTTCAACCGGTTAATGAGGCTCTGTGTTCGGTCATGAAAATGCATAGTTTTTTACATCCCTAATTGCTAAGGCTACCAGCAAAATGTACATATAAATCTGCTCCAGTGTGAGGGGATGCATTGTTAACGATAATGATAAAGATCATGTAGGGTGAATTTGGGCAAAAATAGACATTTTATTTAATTGATAAAATTGACTGGGGGGAGAAGGTACGGGTCTTCTCCAAATACCACTCTTTGTGAGCCCTGACCTGATGTCCTACTTCCACCTATAACGTAATCGAACATGTGCTTGAAGCAGCCACTTCTCGATTTAGGAGAGGAAGAAGAAGATTCGTCCCACAATGGGGAAATTTCAGTTTGATGCATACACATATACACATACACATCAAGGCATGCAGCGAACATCATATCCGCGCTCCTTATAGGCTAAGTGGGTGAAGTGTCTTGCCCAAGGACACAACGACAGCAGGCATCAGTGGGAGTCGGTGGAGAAGGTCCCGTGGTGGGCTCGAACCTACGACCTTTGGGCCCAAAGGCCAATGCTCTACCAACTGAGCTACTGTCACCCCAGTTTTTAAGAGTTGTGTCCGTTTTGCTCTCGCAGCAATGCTAGTTTCCACTACTTCCGCCGTAAGCTCATTCACAATCACGTGACTGGATGACGTTGATGCATCTGGTCAATAGCTAGGTACAGGCACACGCACACAGAGACAGAAACACACACATGTACGCACACAGAGACAGAAACGCACACAGAGACACATACACATGTACGCACACAGAGACAGAAACATATTACAAGCGACACCGTAAATCATGATAGATACACGATCGTAATGCATCATGAGATGCTCCCATGGCTGCAAGTTTTCTCTGGAGCTCACTTGCACGCAAGGGACTTTTTTAAGTGCACATTGACTGATTAATTAGTTGTTTTTCACTCTTTTCCTCTGTCTGTGTCCCACGTATCATATATGTCTGGGGTTTGGCTGTAGACAGTGTTTTATTGAGCCAGCAGGTGGCAGCAGAACTCTGTGGGTTCACTGTCGGAGCGCTGTGAGCAGGAGAGACAGAGGAGAAGCGAGGCATGGAGGAATTTAGTCAGGGACAGGCTTGTGTCAGAATGTGTCTCTGGAGCTGACAGACACCATGTGGAGGGTCAGGACAGCAGACCAGCGGAGCACCCCTAAAAAAGCCATTGAAAAGTGGACTATTTCTAATACTATCACTGAGCCTGTGGCAACGTCTGGTGATCGTCACAGCGCTCCCTGGACTAAACAGAACGACTCTCTGTAGATGTAACCACAAAAACACACAGACATGCGCGCAGAAACACACAACAGTGTTTTGGGCCTATGTCTCATACCATGGGGGGTAGTGTGGACTGTAGTTAGGGAAGGTTCTAACATACAGTATATTAGTTCAAAAGAGGTTCATACAGGTGAGACAGGACACTCTGACTTTCATTTAACACTAACCAATACTGATTTGGTTTTTATTTTTTCAGGAAGAGAAGAAGTGTTTTGTGTGTGACTCTACTGAACCCTACAGCGAACTCCACAACCAGTCGACAAACCACCGGATAGGAAACGTGGTCACAAGTTTCGCCATCGACCGGCTCAAGACCTGGTGGCAGTCTGAGAACGGTGAGCACTAAACACCTGTGAACCATGGATCTTTAATAATAACTAGATAGGGTTTTACAAGCTTATAGCTGAAGCACTTATGGCCTTGGGGGGCACCCACAGTACTGCAGACTAACTAAGACTAAATAGGACTGGGTAGCCCACTACTTCACATGGGCTACTCTGATCAGCAGCTCTTGATCGGTCTGAACACTGCCGTTCCCCTCTGTGCACATGCATGAGAACCACACACGCACGCACACTACTGTACCCTGACCCTGCACTGTCGGGGTTAGGGTTAGATCAGAGGGTTACACTTTGCACACATAGACAAACATAGATACACACACTAAGTACACACAGGTACACACTAAGTTCGCACACTGTATTCATGTATTTTTCTCTCAGGGATGGAGAATGTGACCGTTCAACTTAACCTTGAAGCAGAGTTTCACTTCACTCACCTCATCATGACTTTTAAGGTACGCTCTACTGCAGCACAGCAGGGTTTTCCCAACCCTAACCCTGACCCTAAAGGCGGGTGTATACGCGCGCACTGTGTGCGTGATTATGCAACCATAGTTGTTAGTATGCTCAGACGTATCCCCTTGCGTAATTTTGAAGAGATGTTGTAATCCCACACCCCAACCATAAGATGGCGCTCTCGCAGGTATTGCCTGGGACACCAAAGGGGTCTCATTATGAAGTTCTGCTAGATACGTTCTCCTCCTCAGCACAAAAACAATAGAAAACCAAGCTGTTTGAGACCAAGATCGCAATGGACCTTATCTGCGCAGTTAGAAAAATCCGAGGGTGCACGGGGGGAAGCGCAAGGGGTCCTTGCGGTCTTGCGGTGATCCTTGCATTGGTCACGTGACGTCACAAGGGCCATCGGCCAAGTATACTCCCTGCTTAAAGCTGAACTAACTCACTTTGTGAAATTTTCGAATGTGAGCGCTACCCCCCCCCTCCCAACACTCAGCCTGTGCTTATGTGAATACGGACCTCACGTCTCACAATATGGATCGCACATTTGACCATAGAATGATAGAACCGGGAATCGCGGAGGAATGACACTTTCTTTTGGATGCCTGTTCCGTTGTGTAAGCAGTTAGCGGTTAGCCCCAGCTGTCTGTACTAACCAGAGACCTGTAGCTTTTCTTAAGAAAGTGGGGGCCAGTGGTCCGCTGTGATTGGTCACAATCTGGTCCCGAAACACATTCTCTTCCTTGTTGCACGAAAACTTGATGTAAAATAAAATGACACGGCAGCACAAATCTGCGCTACTTTTTATTCAAAAGGACGTACATCCCAATGCATTGCATTGGATTGAATTTTTGTCATGAATACAAAAATAAAGTGAGGTAATGCAGCTTTAACACTCAGACTTTAGGGTTAGTGCCAGTGGGAGTGAGCCCCGGCTCAAAACGGTCCATGAGCATGCGCTCTGACATGCTACAATCTCACTTGTAGCCGGTGGGGGTGGACCCGGAAAGCCGCCTTCTTTCCTCTCCAAAAAGGCTTTACAGCATGGCTGTAGTTGCCTCATGGCCCAACGCTACGTTCCAGACATGTGACCAGCCTAGTTTTGCCGCTGTGGACTTATAAATGCACTTGTTAAATGAATAGGACTCATGCCGGCCAACGCATGCACAATGTGTTTTTTTACATTTTCCTGCCCCACGGCCTCTTTGAAAAAGCCTACATAAGGCAAAAGTGGTGACAAAGTAGTTTCAATGACGGAGATAAGCGAGACTACGTCCGTTAATATTTAAAGTTTATGGTTAGTCCCAATAGATGACCCATGACCCTGTTCTCTCAGACCTTCCGTCCGGCTGCGATGGTCATAGAGCGCTCCTCAGATTTCGGTAAGACCTGGGAGGTTTATCGATACTTCGCCTACGACTGCGAGAGCTCGTTCCCGTCCGTGTCGGTGGGACCCATGAGGAAAGTGGACGACATCATCTGTGATCCCAGATACTCTGACATCGAGCCATCAACAGAGGGAGAGGTACCGACTATTATATGTATAATTCATTTTTATTTTTATTTTTTTATACGCACACATATTATGTAAAAAAAATCCCACAACATGCTAACCCTGTCTTTATATGACTAGATTTATGTTGTGTTATAGCATAAATGTTATGGTTTTTTTATAGTAACTTTACAATGTTATAGTACAATCCTTGTGAGTCAGTATCTGCCTTTGTAGCATCTCTAGACCAAAGAGGATCACCCTCACTGAGCCAAAGGCCAGAAATACATGATGTGAAACTAGTGACAGAAGTGTTTTGAGAAATAAAAGCTTGTTGGATGTGTTGTGGAATTTCTGCACATAACAAGAGTAAAATAATGTAAACAACCCAGAGCTGTAATTCCAAACAAAGTGTGAGTTTATTCATTAGTAAATGTGCACAATTACAATGAATAACAGAACCGATACCAATACCACCGGGCAGCCGTCCGAAAGCGACTGCCCCGATTGAGGAAATGACTGTACATTAAATAGACCAGAGTAAACAAACACATATCTACTCTAGATATTACATAAATGAAGTCAACATTGATATGTGTTGCTCAAGGCTTCTCTTTACATGTCCTAACGCTGATACAACTCTGATATATGTAACAATCTGCTTTTGAACTGAACATATTGTTCTATGACCCAGGTCAAAGACATGATGCAGCACGTCTCCATCTATCACTGACCTGAGCCAACAGAGCATTATGGCCTGTATCTGAATCCAGAGTTGACTATTAGTTAATAACTTACACTCATAACTATTAGGTGTTAATTCAGATTGCTTTACTAAAATATTTCTATAACAGATGGATTAAAAATGGAGTACCCCAGCTTTAAATCGAATTAGAATCTTTATGAATGTGGATCGTGGGTTAGATTTCATTGTCTCATTATGATATAAAAATATGTTTGTGTCTTGAAATGCATTTTAATAACCTACTTTTTGAGTAATGACATAAGATAAGATAAACTTTATTGATCTCACAATGGAGAAACTTATATGTCAGATTGGGTATAGATAGAATCAGATTGTGCAAAAAGACAGTAAGTGTGCAAAAATTTTAAAGATTAAAAATATAGTCTGCGCAGGATATATTGTATGTACAATTAAAAAGTGGCTATAGCGGTGGTGCTCCTTCTTGAGGGTGCCTCAGTCTTCCACTGAAGGAGCAGCTCCTCACTCCTGTGCAGTGGGTGGGAGGTGTTGTCCATGATGGAGGTGACTTTGACTCGCGCCTTCTTGTCCCTCATCAAAATACTCCAATCCTTTCCTTTGCAGGTCATCTTCAGAGTTTTGGACCCGGTCTTTAAAATTGACGACCCTTACAGTCCCAGAATACAAAGTAAGCCATTACCTTAGTTCCACATTTTAAGTTGGGGAAGTGATCAGGTTTTATATATATATGTGTGTGTCTTGTGTGTGTACTGTGTTTGTCGTGTGTGTAACGTTTGTGTGTTTGTTTCAGACATGTTGAAGATCACAAACCTTCGTGTGAACTTTGTAAAGTTGCACACGCTCGGAGACAACCTGCTCGACTCTCGGATGGAGATCAAAGAGAAGTATTATTACTCCATCTACGACATGGTCGTCCGCGGCAACTGCTTCTGCTACGGACACGCCTCCGAGTGCGCACCTGTGGAGGGAGCGGGACAGACCAGAGAGGGCATGGTAAGTACCCCCAGAGAGGGCATGGGGAAGTACCCCCCACAAAGGACACGGGGAGTACCCCGCAAACAGGGTATGGGGGGTGTGCCCCAGGAGAGCGCATGGGGAGTACCCAGACCCTCATTATACTTGTGTAAGTTTAGGTCCATGGTGTCTGTACTTGTTTCTGTAGGTCTATGCTGTCTGTACTTCTGTAGATCCATGGTGTCTGTAATTCTGTAGGTCAATGCTGTCTGTACTTCTGTAGATCCATGGTGTCTGTTCTTGTCTCTGTAGGTTCATGGTCGCTGCATGTGTAACCACAACACTAAAGGACTGAACTGTGAAAAGTGCCAGGACTTCTACCACGACCTACCGTGGAGACCAGCTGAGGGACGCAATACTAACGCCTGCAAGAGTGAGTCCTCCGCTTTATACAAGCCCTGAAATCTGAGACGCTGCCTCCCCTAAATTTAGTCCTGATTTTGGGCACCAGCATGAGGCCAGTCCCTGTGCTCTTCAGAGTCCCAGCAGTAGGCCTGTCCCTCAATTCAGTTTCAATTTATTTTTGAATAGCTTTAAATCACATCAGTAGTTAATTCGGATTACTTTATATAGTTATCGAATCGCCAACACAAATCAAGAATTTAATTGAAACACTGGAAACACAATGATTAAAAAAACATGTTCTAAAGGTGCAAATGTCCTGGCTTGTCGCCACTGTCCTGAGACCCTCATGCATCGCAAAGAATTTTTATTTTTATTTGAAAAATGTGACAAACCAAATGAGAGGCGCACACTGAGGGAGGGATCTGCTCTTACAGCCAGAGACGAGCAGGACTGAGTATGTAGATGCAGGACTGAGTATGTAGATGCAGGACTGAGTATGTAGATGCAGGACTGAGTATGTAGATGCAGGACTGAGGCTGTAGATCCAGAACTCAGGCTATAGAACCAGGATGAGGCCACACAATGCTAGACTGCGGCGGCTCCCGGGCGGGGAGGGGAGTGCAGCCTACAAGTCGAGCCAGGGAAGGCTGTCCACAGGTGCAGATGCAGGCCGAGTCACATCATCACGCCATGAAACAGACGATGGGACAGCCTTTCTCTGTGCTCCTCAGAACCCAGATTTGTTCATATGGAATTAACATGTCACTAACCACTTCAGGACAGAGACCTGAGACCAGGACTACTGTGAGAGAACTTCAGGACAGAGACCTGATACCAGGACTAATTTGTTCTGGTCTTAGTGCAGCACTCAGTATATTTCAATAACGCACATGTTGTGTCTCTCTCAGAGTGTAACTGTAACCATCACTCGGACTCGTGTCACTTCGACATTGCGGTGTTTGAGGCATCTGGAAACCAGAGCGGAGGAGTCTGTGACAACTGCCAGCACCAGACTGCAGGGCACCAGTGTGAACTCTGCCAACCATTCTTCTACCAGCACCCCGAGAGAGACCTGAGGGACCCCAACATCTGCCAGCGTGAGTACAGCCCCCTGCGAGAGACCTGAGGGACCCCACCTACATACAGTACATTTACATATGCACTCTCCTTCTGCATACGAGATATTTATTTATTTATTGTTTTCTGAATTTTGAAAACTCAAGAGTTTTGGATGGGGGTATTCAACTCAAAGGGCCGAGTGGCTGCAGGTTTTCATTCCAGACTCCACCCATTTCCTCAAGTCTTAGCCCAAAGCCCACACGGCCCTTTGAGCGGCCCTTTGAGCTCCAGTTTAAAACCCTAATCAATGGTAGAAAGTCATGTTTCAATCTATTTCATTTGCAATTGATGTTTCAACCAGAAGGGAGGTCTCTGACCTCTCTTCTGTTGCAGCCTGTAGCTGTGACCTCTGACCTTCCCTCCTCTGTTGCAGCCTGTACCTGTGATCCCGTGGGCTCTCTGGATGGAGGTCTCTGTGATGGTGTGACTGACATCAGGGTCGGACTGATCGCTGGTCAGTGTCGCTGTAAAGCGAACGTGGACGGAGAGCGGTGCGAACGCTGCAAATCTGCGCATTACGGCCTCAGTGACCATCCAGAGGGGTGCACAGGTACAGACACTAACCCACAGGTGCAGACACTAACCCACAGGTGCAGACACTAACCCACAGGTGCAGACACTAACCCACAGGTGCAGACACTAACCCACAGGTGCAGACACTAACCCACAGGTGCAAACACTAACCCACAGGTGCAGACTCTAACCCACAGGTACAGACACTAACCCACAGGGGCAGAATCTAACCCACAGGTGCAGACTCTAACCCACAGGTACAGACCAGACTAGCGTTAACCCTAATGGTGCTTTCAGACTGCCAACGCTGAAGCCCCGCTCACCAGACGCACATTCTCTAGTTTTCAGACGCAGGAGTCTTCACACCAGAACGTCTTGACGCGCACCGGACGTGCCGGAAGTATCCGGCCGGATCTGATGCTAACAGAGTTTAGCTAGCGGCTTCTCGTGTCCAATATGCAGCTTTGCAGCGTGTCTTTGAACAGAGACCTTCCACGGGCTTTATATAACAGTAGTATGTGTTCACGGAGGTGCGCCATACGTTTTTTCATATTAACTCATTGACTGCCAGCCCATTTCAGAACAGGTACTTCCATATTGCCAGCCGTTTCTGATGGTTTTTTACTGATTTTTAAAGACCCACAGAATATTGTGTACTATGACTATGAAATCCTACACCAGATTCTAAAAGAAGGACTGTCTACTTTCATCAGCAAAAATAATTTTGTTTCTAGGTTGTTTCGTTCCCCTGTAATCTTCCGTTGAGTAGAGGGAAGTTTTACTGAAATCACCAGAAAGTTGAGAAAAAAGAGGCACAACATGTGCACCTAACTGTTTTCAAACCATTCAGAGAGCAATGCTGCCACCTGCTGGCTCGATAAAATATGGTCTCAAGCCATCCCCATACATATTAGATACAATAGACGTCTGGGAACATGAAAATGCGTATTAATGTGTCAATGGCAACAACGTTACTATTTACTTTGACGTATTTGTGCGTCAATGGCAACAATGAGTTAATAAACGGTATCTTGGATTGCTCTATGAAAGCACTTTTCATGGCCAACTCCTATGAACGGCGGAGATAGGCATGACTCTGTGCTTGTGAAAATATGCGTTGACATAGACTGTATATATCAACGGACAGAGTCCCCCATTGTCAGCCCTGGTTTGAGTTCTGGTGAAGCCCGGTGTGGGTCCTGTTTTGGCTGTTTACGAGTATTTTCAGTCTGCTCGTTCAGTCCGCTAATGTCCCCGCGACCACTTTGCTGCTCTCTGATTGGTTGTCGCACGAATGTCCCAAGGAAAGGATGAGCAGAATCCATCTCCTGTGGGATCTTGCTCCTCCCCTTTGACTTTCCCGCCAAGTCCGTGCGTTTCTACTGAACAGTCCGTCCGTGCGTGCCGAGAGGTCTGTGCGTTGGGACGCTCGAACGCTCGTCACCATAGACTTTGCATTGAAAGCCGACGCAACGCATGATCCGGCTGAAAGCACCATAAGCCTCGAACGCTGTCTCTGTGCATTTTTTTTTAGACAACCTTAACGTGTATGTGTGTTTGTGTATCTGTCTGTGTGTGTGTGTGTGGATGTGCATTTGGGTCTATGTTGTGTGTCTCTGTTTGTGTTGTGTTAGCATGTACCTGTAGTCCCCTGGGGACACTTCCTGGAGGAAATCCCTGTGACAGCGAAACAGGAAGCTGCTTCTGCAAACGTCTGGTGACCGGACGAGACTGCGACCAGTGTGTGGTGAGTAACTAGGGTTTGCTCTAAGGTATAGGGTTAGGCAATTAGGGTTAGCTCTAATATATATATATATACAGTTCCTTGCGAAAGTATTCGGCCCCCATAAACCTTTCAACATGTCGCCACATTTCAGGCTTCAAACATAAAGATATAAAAAATAAAATTTTGTCAAGAATCAACAACAAGTGGGACACAATCGTGAAGTGGAACGAAATTGGATAATTTAAACTTTTTTAACAAATAAAAACTGGGTTGTGCAATATTATTCGTCCCCCTTGCACTAATACTTTGTAGCGCCACCTTTTGCTGCAATTACAGCTGCAAGTCGCTTGGGGTATGTCTCTATCAGTTTTGCACATCGAGAGACTGGAATTCTTGCCCATTCTTCCTTGCAAAACAGCTCGAGCTCAGTGAGGTTGGATGGAGAGCGTTTGTGAACAGCAGTCTTTAGCTCTTTCCACAGATTCTCGATTGGATTCAGGTCTGGACTTTGACTTGGCCATTCTAAAGCCTAGTGTACTCGCACGGCGCGGAGCTTACAGAGGTGACGTGACGTCACTTGCGCAACGCGTTGGTCACCGCAAGGCCCTTACGTCGCCTGCCGCGCAGCATCAATATTTTCTAACTACGTAAGGGTCGCCGCAAGGAATCTCCGCTGTGATTGGTCCGTGTGTGTGTGTGTATTGGAAGGAAGCATGGAGCGGCTGCAGCAGGGACAATGGACGAGGCGCTATGGAGCAGAGAGCTTTGTGCTTCGAAGGAAAAGCAGTTTGGGCTCAGAGCCTGATATACAGGAGACTGTGGACTATCTAACATATATATAACTTATATCTAACATATATATAACTTATAAACTGTGCAGTCGTTTGTTTTGCACTGTTCCTGTCTTTGTTTGAATCGTAGCTGCGTTTGTTGCTTTCCTCCTGCACTCGTAAATCGTTCATGTTTGTCTCAGATATTTACCACTATTATTGTTTTTCTGTTTGTGCTGAAAACTATTTAATAATAACTATGTTTCCAACAAGAACTGTGTCTTTATTCACAGAATCACAGTTGAAATGACTTATAAAATAATGAATCCATAAAACTATCACATGAACCTGCAGTAGAAACACGTGTAATGAGCTCAAACAGCTTTGTTTGTTATTGTTGTTCTAAAGAGGACAAAGTAGCAGCGTAAATGGGACCGCTCCTGTGTGATCGCCCTCATGTCGTTTGATGTGGGATTACAACATTCTCCTCAAAACTCGTAAGGGGAACGCGCCAGTATAACATCAATTGTGCTTACGTAGGTCCACCGCAACCGCTAACGTAAGCCACGCCGCGCAAGTATACACTAGGCTTAACACCTGGATACGTCTATTTGTGAATCATTCCATTGTAGATTTGGCTTTATGTTTTGGATCATCAGAATCAGAATCAGAATCATTTTTATTGCCACGTAAGTAACAGGAGGTCACAGACTAGGAAATTGCTTTGGCTCAGTGCAACAGTCAAAAAGAGATAATAAAAATAAGAATAAAAAACACTTCTAAAGAATAAATTTAAATTTAAAATAGAGTTACAGTTACTATTTACAATATACAAGTGCACATGGTGCACACAATGTAAGGTGAACAGCAGTACAGTGAAGTAAAGTGACTTTGTAAAGGGCGGGGGACAGGTTAAGAAGTGTTCAAGAGTCCAACAGCAGAGGGGAAGAAACTGTTCTTGTGGCGGGAGGTTCTAGTCCTGATGGACCGCAGCCTCCTGCCTGAGGGGAGTGGTTGGAATAGTCCATGTGCAGGGTGAGAGGGGTCGGCTGTGATACGACCAGCCCGGCCTCGAGCTCGGGCGACGTACAGGTCCTGCAGCGATGGAAGGCTGCGGCCGATCACTTCCTCTGCAGAGCGCACAATGCGCTGTAGTCTCTGTTTGTCCCTGACTGTGGCTCCAGCGAACCACACGGTGACGGAGAAGGTGAGGATGGACTCGATGATGGCCGTGTAGAACTGCACCAACATCTGTGCAGGCAGCTTGGCTTTCCTGAGCTGCCGCAGGAAGTACATCCTCTGCTGGGCCTTCTTGATGAGGGAGCTGATGGTCGGCTCCCACTTGAGGTCCTGGGTGATGGTGGTGCCCAGGAAATGGAAGGACTCCACAGAGGTGATGGGGGAGTCCATCACGGAGGGTGGGGGTGGGGGGACAGTGCTCTTCCTGAAGTCCACAATCATCTCCACTGTCTTCTGGGCGTTCAGCTCCAGGTTGTTACCACTGCACCAGGACACCAGCCGGTCCACCTCCCTCCTGTAGGCGGACTCATCGTTGTTGGAGATGAGTCCATGAGGGTGGTGTCGTCCGCGAACTTGAGCAGCTTCACGGAGTCGTGGCTGGAGGTGCAGTGGTTGGTGTACAGAGAGAAGAGCAGGGGAGAAAGAACACAGCCCTGTGGGGCTCCTGTATTTATAATCCGAGAGTCCGAGACATTCTTCCCCAGACGCACTCGCTGCTTCCTGTCCGTCAGGAAGTCAGTGATCCACCTGCAGGTGGAATCGGGCACGTTGAGCTGGGAGAGCTTGTCCTGGAGCAGGGATGGCAGGATTGTGTTGAAGGCAGAGCTGAAGTCCACGAACAGGACCCTGGGGTAGGTCCCCGGGGAGTCCAGGTGCTGTAGGATGTGGTGGAGGGCCAGGTTAATGGCGTCGTCTACAGATCTGTTGGCTCTGTAGGCGAACTGCAGGGGGTCCAGGAGGGGGGAGGTGAGGGACTTGAGATGGGAGAGAACCAGGCGTTCAAATGACTTCATGACGACAGACGTAAGTGCTACAGGTCTGTAGTCATTGAGTCCTGTGATCCTGGGCTTCTTCGGGACGGGGACAATGATGGAGGATTTGAAGCAGGCCGGGACATGGCAGGACTGCAGAGAGGTGTTGAAAATGTCAGTGAACACAGGAGTAAGCTCACAGGCGCAGTGTCTCAGAGTGGCCGGAGACACGTGGTCCGGGCCAGGAGCTTTGCGGGGGTGCAGCCTCAGGAAGAGTTGTTTAATCTCTTTAGCGGCTATTGTTAGGCTGGGGGCAGGGCTGATGGGTGGGTCGTTAGAGTAGTGGGGGGTGGGGGAGGGAGAGGTGTCAGGGGCAGCATCAAAGCGACTGAAAAATAAGTTCAGATCGTCAGCTAGCTTGTGGTCGTCAGCACAGGGGGGGGCTTTGGGTTTGTAGTTGGTGATCTCCCGTAGGCCCCTCCAGACAGAAGCAGTATCGTTGTTACCAAACTGCTCCTGTAGTGGTTCTCTGTGCCGGGACTTGGCTGCTTTCAGTTCTTTCCTGAACTGATATTTAGCTGCTTTGTAGCCGCTGCGGTCCCCCTCCCTGAAAGCAGACTCCTTTGCTTTCCTGAGCTGCCGGAGTTTAGCAGTGAACCAGGGTTTGTCGTTGTTATAGATGACCCTGGTCCTTGTTGGAATGATGCTATCCTCACAGAAGTGAATGTATGACGTCACAGTGTCCGTGTATTCATCCAAACTGTCTGTGGCAGCTCTGAAAAGGTCCCAGTCTGTAGATTCCATGCATGCGCGCAGCTCTTCCACAGCTTCATCAGACCACACTTTGGAGCTCCTCATTGCAGGTTTCGAGAGCTTTAGTCTCTGTAAGCAGGAACCAGATGTATCATGGAGTGATCTGAGAAGCCGAGGGCTGGCTTGGGAACAGCGCGAAAAGCTCCGCGCACGGTGGTGTAACAATGATCCAGAGTGTTCTCCTCTCTGGTCGGGCATTTGATAAACTGTCTGTATTTGGGTAATTCCTGGCTCAAGTTTCCCTTATTAAAATCCCCCAGGATAATAATCAGAGAGTCCGGGTATAAGCGTTCCATACACAGTACTTGCTCTGCGAGTGCGCGCTGAGCCTCGCGCGCGTCCGCGCATGGCGGTATGTAAACAGAGGCAAGAATGAATGAAACAATTTCGCGCGGGGAGTAATATGGTTTACAATGAATGAAAAGATATTCCAGAGCAGGAGAGCAGTGCTTGGAGATCACTGTCACATCGTTACACCAGTTTGTATTGACGTAGAAAAACAGCCCACCGCCTCTGCTCTTCCTTGAGAGCGCACAATGGCGATCCGCGCGGAACAGCCCAAAGCCCTGCAGCTCCAGAGCACAGTCCGGGATCCGCTCATTTAGCCAGGTCTCAGTGAAGCAGAGGACACAGGATGTGGCGAAGTCTCTTCTCATGAGCAGGCTGAGTTCGTCCATCTTATTACCCAGTGAGCGTACGTTGGAGAGAAAAATGCCGGGGAGAGCTGTGCGCGCTCCTCTCCTCCTCAGACGCACGAGCAGGCCTCTGGCTTTCCCCTTTTACGGGCCCACACTTTTTTGGCTAGAACATGAACTAAATCAGCCGCAGATGCCAAGAAAACAGGCAATAGGTCCATGGGAACGGTGGGTCGGATGTTCATAAGTTCCTCACGGGTGTAGGAACAGCCAGATGCGCAGTTAAAAAGTAAAAACAAAAGAAAAAGAGAGCAACAAAGAGCCATGTCGACCGTACGAGGCGCCATCTTTGAAAAAAAAAAAAAATCATTGTCCTGTTGGAAGATAAATCTCCGTCCCAGTCTCAGGTCTTTTGCAGACTCCAACAGGTTTTCTTCCAGAATGGTCCTGTATTTGGCTCCATCCATCTTCCCATCAATTTTAGCCATCTTCCCTGTCCCTGCTGAAGAAAAGCAGGCCCAAACCATGATGCTGCCACCACCATGTTTGACAGTGGGGATGGTGTGTTCAGGGTGATGAGCTGTGTTGCTTTTACGGCAAACATATCGTTTTGCATTGTGGCCAAATAGTTTGATTTTGGTTTCATCTGACCAGAGCATCTTCTTCCACATGTTTGGTGTGTCTCTCAGGTGGCTTGTGGCAAACTTTAAACAAGACTTTTTATGGATATCTTTGAGAAATGGCTTTCTTCTTGCCACTCTTCCATAAAGGCCAGATTTGTGCAGTGCACGACTGATTGTTGTCCTATGGACAGACTCTCCCACCTCAGCTGTAGTTATCTGCAGTTCATCCAGAGTGATCATGGGCCTCTTGGCTGCATCTCTGATTAGTCTTCTCCTTGTTTGAGATGGAAAGTTTGGAGGGACGGCCGGGTCTTGGTAGATTTGCAGTGGTCTGATACTCCTTCCATTTCAATATAATTGCTTGCACAGTGCTCCTTGAGATGTTCAAAGCTTGGGAAATCTTTTTGTATCCAAATCCGGCTTTAAACTTCTCCACAACAGTATCTCGGACCTGCCTGGTGTGTTCCTTTGTCTTCATGGTTCTCTCTGCGCTTTAAACAGAACCCTGAGACTATCAAAGAGCAGGTGCATTTATACGGAGACTTGATTACACACAGGTGCATTCTATTTATCATCATCAGTCATTTAGGACAACATTGGATCATTCAAAGATCCTCACTGAACTTCTGGACTGAGTTTGCTGCACTGAAAGTAAAGGGGCCGAATAATATTGCACGCCCCACTTTTCAGTTTTTTATTTGTTAAAAAAGTTTAAATTATCCAATACATTTCGTTCCACTTCACGATTGTGTCCCACTTGTTGTTGATTCATGACAAAAAATAAAAATTTTATATCTTTATGTTTGAAGCCTGAAATGTGGCGAAATGTTGAAAGGTTCAAGGGGAGCGAATACTTTCCCAAGGCACTGTATATAACTAATAATTAAATTATATATAAATTATATATGATATATATATATATATATATATATATATTAAATCATATATAAATTATATATATATATTAAATTGTGTTATCTTTGTGTTGTTTTATACTCAGCCCAATGATGAATATGCTTTCAAAAGATGCTTCTCTTATTTTTAGTGTTTGTTCAATTGTGATCCTAATGGCTACACCATAGAGCAGCATAGTGACAAGCGTCTCCTGCAGAGGAGGCCCTGGAACAGCTATGTTTCACATGGTTTTCTGTGTTTCAGGCTGAACACTGGGGTCTGAGCAGCGACATGGACGGATGCAGACCATGTGACTGTGATCTGGGAGGAGCTGTCAACAATCAGTGAGTTTACAACGATTTAAAACGTATTCACATATTCATTATTTCAGGCAGTTAGCGTCAGGGTAGGGCTGATAATATATAACTATATTTTTACAGGATAAGGGCCTGTCCCAATTCTGAGGACACTCAAGTTGTGAGTGTCCTCCAAAAGAGGAGTGCCCTCGCAGGATATTCTCCCTAAGAAATGGGACGTCCATGGATCAGAGGGCCAAATGCAAATTAGTTTCCAGCTGGATATAAAGTTTTTAGTCTCTGTTATAAAAGCTTATCGTCAAAATTACTTTTGCGATATTATCACCTACGATTCTTATTGCCCACCCCTAGGTCAGGGTTTAGGGTCAAGGGTCAGGGTTAAGGGTTTGATCCAACTGAGGGCAAACTAAAGAACTCAAAAAGCTCCCGAACTAATGTGGAGGCAATACTTTTATTTTAAAAATATGTTTGAAAAATGAGCGTTTAGACAGAAGGGACACGTGTTTGTGCCACAGGTTTGTGATCTTTGGGACGGTAGAAAGAGGTGTTTGTGATGGAAGCCTGTTTATGTTTCTGTCCCTTGGATGACTTCAATTAAGTTTTCTATTTCATCTCGTGATTCTCTCCCTAATCTTCAAATCATTATATTCCTAATTTTTTTGATGAAATCCAAAAAACCTTCTGCGACTCCAGAGGTGTAGAATCCAGAGTCTAAGGCCCTGTTTAGACGGAAACGCTGCAGAGACGCTGCGGAGACGCTGCGGAGACGCTGCGGAGACGCTGCAAAGCAATGTGCAAAAACGACCAAGCTTTGGATTCGAAGTGTAAAGCGTCTACACTTCTACGGAAAACGGTGGTTCTAGTGCCCCGCCAGTAGGGGGCAGTGGAACTTTACAACACACGGCCCCCACCAGAATAACCACTTCCTCAACAACATCCTCCTCAGGCCACCGCAAAGACGGAAAAGAATGCACCAACATAATTCTGCGATTAACAATAGCAGCAAAAATGGAAGCTGCATCTACAGCTTTGCATACTTTTGTTTTTATTTATTTTTATTTTATTTATTTATTTGGAGGATAAGCCCCTAGAGATGAAACATCTCGTTTTCGAGGGGGTCCTCAAAATTGCACAAAATGACAGATGCAGTAAGGCAGACAGTAGAGCAAACAATATAACAAAATTCATAAAAAATAATACAAACACAAAGACAAAGGACACATAAAAACACACACACACACACACACACTGATTGTTTCTGATCTAACGTCTGTTATAAATTAACAGAGATTACAGATATCACTGAATATAATGTAGGTGCATATGCTCAATAACATTGGCATGGGTTCTGGAGGTATTGGACCAAAGCATTCTTAAACAGAGGCAGAGAAGTGAGAGCGTGGATGGATGAAGGTAAACTGTTCCAGTCGGAAGGAGCTTTAAATTTGAACGAATGTTTTCCTACTTCTTTCTTAACTCTTGGGACAACAAAGAAACATTGTTTGGACAAAGGAGTAGAATTGTTCCTTCGTGTAACGCTTGAAGCATACATACCATTAGTTGATCCACCGCATTCTTGTTTACGTTTTTTTCTCAGCTACTGCGCATGTCCAAATGTATGTGGGGGAAGTGGTCATTGCAGTCAGACTTCACACCTTTTTCTTCACACTGCTGTGAAACAGACCCCCGCTGTTTGTTCTACTCGGAGGCCGTTTCTCAACGCTTACATCTTCACCCCCCTGAAACACTGTCGATGATGAACGAAAGGCCAGTCCGATAGCCAACTCTATCGTTTTGCAGTCGCAGCGCCAACCCTAACCAGTGACCTCCCCCTCTCTTTAAAACAAAGACCATGTTTACTCTTATCACGCCAAACATTGAACAAAACCATACTTTAAAGATTTAAAGCTCAACAATCAGGTAATAACAGTGAATGACCCTTAAACCACGGCTTTTATAAACAAAACAAAAGAGAAACAGCTGGAGACTGGACAATGACAATGGGGAAAATGTTACCATAAACTTTCAGTCTCAGGCTTTGCTTCCAAAGGGTTCCCAAATGTTTGAACAGAGTTTATAGGGATTGAACTGAGCTGTAGTGGGCCCCCCTGATCTTTCCCACAGTGTTTCTGAGTGGTCCTCTGTCCTGCAGGAGGGTCTGAGGACAGTGGTGAACTCCCTATGGACCAATGGCTGTGTTGGTTATTATTGTTTTGTCGGTGTTTGATTATCTGACCTGTTGTTGGTGAATCCACAACTTGGAAAGTCCTCTGAGACGACTGCTGTTGTGGTTTAGGACGAGACACGAAAACATTGAACTGGTGTCGATATGTTTAATAGCTCACAGTCCGCCTCCAATGAAATCATGTCTTGTCTATGTCGAGGGTTGGATTAGCCACTAGACCATTGGTTTAGGGTTAACATTTTACCCATGTTTATGAACTACTGGTTTGTCTGATGTCACTCCCTGTTTCCAGGTGTGATCATGTGACCGGGCAGTGCGTGTGCAGGCCCCACATGTTTGGACGCCGCTGTGATCAGGTGGAGTCTGGATTCTACTTCATCGCTCTGGATCACTACACGTATGAGGCTGAAGACGCCAAGTTTGGGCCTGTGAGTCAAACCTAACCCACTTCACCCTAAAGCTCTGGCTCCTAACATTTGTGATTCTTAGATAATACAGAAAGAGAAACAAATCAGACACAACCTGTACCTGTGCTCCTCTGTTCCTCAGGGTGTGACAGTGGTACAGAGGCCCCACCCCCTGGACAGAAGCCCCACCTGGACTGGAGTGGGTCTGGTCAGTGTTCCGGAGGGAGCGTATCTGGAGTTCTCTGTGGACAACATTCCTCACTCCATGGAGTACGATGTTGTGATTCGCTATGAGCCTCAGGTGAGACACAAGCATCCTCCGCTCTGATTATGCATACACACTCGAGCAACGAGCAGAGGAGCGCGCTGCTGCTGTGAAGTCTCTGTGTCAGATGCATGTGTTTGTCTTCATGGTCTCCGTGTCAGATGCATGTGTGTGTCCACATGGTCTCTGTGTCAGATGCATGTGTTTGTCTTCATGGTCTCCGTGTCAGATGCATGTGTGTGTCCACATGGTCTCTGTGTCAGATGCATGTGTTTGTCTTCATGGTCTCCGTTTCAGATGCATGTGTGTGTCCACATGGTCTCTGTGTCAGATGCATGTGTTTGTCTTCATGGTCTCCGTGTCAGATGCATGTGTTTGTCTTCATGGTCTCCGTTTCAGATGCATGTGTGTGTCCACATGGGCTCTGTGTCAGATGCATGTGTTTGTCTTCATGGTCTCTGTATCTTCAGCTACCAGAGCAGTGGGAGGAGGTGATGGTGACAGTGATCAGACCAGCAGCCATCACTCCAGACAGTCGCTGTGTGAACACTGTCCCAGACGACGACAACCAGATGGTGTCTCTGCACCCGGGCTCACGGTACGACCTCCTGCCAATCACAGGGACCTCCTGCCAATCACAGGGACCTGGTCCCTGTGATTGGTACATGGTGTACACCTCTGGTCTGGTACCATGGCTGTGCCTGTACTAAACACCTTTCTGCCACAGGCTTATTTATTTGACCACAGAATACACCCACATCATGTTTACATCAAAGATTCAATTTTGCCTAAACCATTAGTTTGTTGATACTGTTACATGTTTAGCCTAATAGGTTTCCATTATTATCATTCGCTGACGACCCAGAAATTGCACTTAGCAAAGTGCAACAACCCAAACTAGTCACATCTTTACAACCATGACAAGACAAACGCACTTAAATATTGCATATGGCAACAGAACCTATTGACCTCTTGACAATAGTCGCTTTAAAACGTATACTTGATGTTTTATTCTTTAATCTTGATGAACCAACTCTGAACTCTAATGTCACTCACCCTCACCTGTCCCTCATCCTCAGCCACATGGTTCTGCCACGGCCCGTGTGTTTGGAGTCTGGACTGAACTACACGCTTCGTCTGAGTTTCCCGCTGTACTCTGCCCTGAGCGACCACCAGTCTCCATACACCCTCATCGACTCTGTAAGAATCTGTTCAACATTTGTACATTTTCCCTCTTACCCTCTAAACCTCTCACCATGTAACTATCTAACTCTCAACCTCTCATCCTAACCCTAACCCTTGTTAACTTTGTAAGAAGAACCTGTCCAACATATATACATAGCCTTTCATCCGAACACTCTCACCCTCTCAACCCCTCACCGTCTAATCTACCCATGCTAAACACTAACCTTTCACACATTCTTATGTTCATTCTTTGAAGAAGACACACATTTCTAACACTGACCCTCAACACTATTGGTCTAAAGTTCTTGTATCTTTTCAGATTGTGTTGGTGCCAAACTGTAAGAACCTGGAGATCTTCACGGGGTCAGAGGGGGAGGGCGGGTCAGAGAGTGGATCAGAGGGCGGCTCGCACGGCGGGTCACATGATGGATGGGAAATGTTCCAAAGATATCGGTGTCTGGAGCACAGCCTCAGTGTCGTCAAAACACCTTTAACCGACATCTGCAGAAACTACATCTTCAGCATCTCCGCCATGTTGCACCAGGGAGCTAAAGGTACAGGTCCTCACCCTAACTCTAGGGATCACCCTAACCCTCACCCTAACCCTCACCCTAACGGTCCGTACACACTGCAAGCGTCATGTGAAGTGGAGAGACTCAAACAGCAGCACCTGGGGCCGCGGGGCTCTTTTGAAATGCTTCCGTTATATCAGCGGTGAGCGTACACGTCACCCCCCACAGCGCTGGGCAGACTATTGTTTTTTTCTTTCATTAAGTCTCCTGTTTGACCACACCAGAAACAGAGACCATTTGGACACACACACCTCTGGTTTGGTCTGTCCTACTGTTTACACTTCTCCATAGACGGCAGCAGCAGCGTCCCTGTGCTCTGCAGGTGTGTACACAGAGCCTCCTCTGCAGGAGAGGCGCTCGTCATAGTCCTGTCAATAGTCCTGTCCATAGTCCTGTCATAGCCAGGACTATGGATGCAGGTTAGGGAGGTACTACAAAGGTTTGAGGACGCTGCTTTATACTACACATATTCTCAGTAAACACTTCTGTCTCCTGTTTGCTTTGTTAACTTCTGACTGACGTATTGTGTTTTAAAGACATGTTCTCGCCACAGTCCTGCTCTGAAGTCATCGTTTCCTTTTAGATAAAATCCGGTGGAAATCCCTTTGTTGGCGCCTGCAGCTCTGTCCCTGTGATACCTCCTTCTTCTGTCATCCTCTAATTATCACTGTCTGAAGACTCAGACAAACAAGTCTAGACTAGAGCAGGAGCACTTCCCAAAACCCCATTCATAAATCTATCACCACCTCCTGTAGCAGCCAGATCCAGACCCAGATCCAGGTTTCTGGGCCTTGTCCTGGTTAGGATTAAGGTTAATTTTCTTCTGAAGATATTATATTATGTGTATGTGTGTATATTGATAAGTTATTGTTTCAAATAATAAAACATATTTAACATTAACTAAAGCCGCAGTGTGTGTCTGTGTGTCTCTGTCTCTTTTGTGTGTCAGAATGCCAGTGTGACCCTCAGGGCTCCCTCAGTTCGGTGTGTGACCCCAGCGGAGGTCAGTGTCGCTGCAAACACAACGTTATGGGACGAAACTGTGATCAATGTTCTCCTGCGACGTTTCAGTTTGGACCCAACGGCTGCAGAGGTAAGAAGGGGGAGGGGGGGGGGGGGGGGGGGGGGGGTTTTTCATGTCTCAATTTGTATCACACTGTAAAGCTGTGTTAAGTAAGTAAGTAAGTAAAGTTTATCCTTTGTGAGATAAATAAAGCACATCTTATCTTATCTTTCACAGACCAGGATCACAAAGCGCTTCACACATTAAAATACATAAAATACACATACAAGTCAGATTTAAAAACAAAAACACAGGAACACACAGATCACAGAGGCCTCGGAACAGTGAGGCAAGAAAGCCTGTCTAAACAAATGCGTCTTAAGATCATCGACAGTCTCTAAGATGCGCAGAGACTGAGGAAGCCCATTCCAAAGGCGAGGAGCAACTGCCTGGAAGGATCTGTCTCCTCTGGTTTTAAAGTGAGTGCAGGGGACCATCAACAGGTTCTGAGTGGAGGACCTCAGGCTCCTGTTAGAGACATAGGGGTGGATCAGGCCCTGGATGTATTCGGGCGCCTGACCATGAAGAGCCCTGAATGTCAACACTAGAATTTTAAAATTGATTCTGTGTTAGACAGTGGGGTGTTCCCACCGCTTATGCATGGACACGTGTTCACTAGATTTCAGACGCATGACTTTTGTCAATCTTTCGTACTGCCCTGCAATGGGGAAAAACACAGGGCGGAAGTGGTGGGCGGGCTTTGATGACGAGTTCAATGACCGTACTTCCGTATCGCCGAACACGTTAGCAGCCCTTGTTTACACTCATAGAATGTCAACTATAAAGAAATTATTGGTCCAAATTAGGGATGTATATCGGTGACCGTTTAACCGGTGGTTGACCGTCACAGCGTTAACCGGTCAAAGCTGTCGGTTAAAAAAGAGAAAAGGGGGAGAGGGGAGGTCTCTTCATAACGCTATTTTAAGCCCTATTTGCACGATGTGACGAGCGGGTCCCTATCTAGCTGTGTGCGCCCATGTAACAGTAAACTCTGGGCCGACTCTCACGCCGTACGCGCCACATATGCACGCACACATGTACACGCACACACACACACATCCCCCCCCCTCCATTGACACGTAACATCCACACGCATCATCTCTCCCCTGTGTTACCGTCTGCTAGTTGCACACTGGTGCGGGTCAGAACTACATTGGAGCTTATATTTACACACACATACATACATGTATTGTACACACACACATACCGGTCTGTCGCGCACCTCTGTGTCTCGCAGCCCAAAGCATTCTTGCAAATACACGGCTCCAGTCAAACCACATGGACCATGTTTGTGCTGCTGGTCCTTGGCATCAGCTCCACACTGATCACTTTTAAACTTTAGCGGAGACCTGCGAGACGCGGCTCGTCACTCGCTGCCCTGACCATGTGGACGAGCTGTCTTTTGCTTAAAAATGCTTTAAGCCGCAGCACAGAAGAATGTGAAGATTACAACAGCAGTTCTCTGTGCGCAAAGGTGCCGGAGCTGTTGCGGGTTTTGGCGCCGCTGTCTCGGCTCTGATCCCGTAGAACGCTCAGCTGCACTTATGAAAAGTACGCGGCTCGAAATGGCTGTTATTTCAAAGAACGTGGACTATTTTAAACTACGCGGTTAACCGGTTTCAACCGGTTAATGAGGCTCGGTGGTCGGTCATGAAAATTCATAGTTTTTTACATCCCTAATATAAATACATTTTTTAATATATTCAAATTTTGGGGATTAATAAAACAATGTATCTGCAGCCTGTGATGTCACACTAACGGCTCCTCTCTCTCTCTCTACAGCCTGTGACTGTGATGTTGAGGGCTCCGTCTCCCCCCTCTGTGACCCCCTCAGTGGACAGTGTAGATGTGTGACTGGTGCCTCAGGACGACAGTGTGACAGGTGTCTCTCTGGACACTGGGGGTTCCCGTCGTGTCGTGTGTGTCTCTGTAACGGACACTCAGAGGACTGTGACCCAGAGACAGGACGCTGTGTGGACTGCAGGGACCACAGCACGGGACACAGCTGCCAAAGGTATTTAAGCACTTTGTCAAGCACCTTGTGTTGTAACACTTCCTCTGTTTAACCCCGAGGTCTCCACTGTTCCCTCTGTTCCTCAGGTGTCTGGATGGTTACTATGGAGACCCAGTCCTTGGTTCTGGAGACCACTGCAGACCCTGCCTGTGCCCTGATGGACCCGGATCATCGCGACAATTCGCAGACTCCTGTTACCGCGGCGACAGCTCCGTCCAGGCCGTCTGTGTCTGCAACCAGGGATACAAAGGTAAAACTACAGCTGCGACGTCACAAACTGTTCCTCAAAGAGGGTTAGGGCCAGCCGAGTGATCTAATCCAGCTTCGAGTCTCCATCCATCCATCCATCCATCCATTTTCTTCCCCTTAATCCATTTCTGGGTCGGGGGGGGGGGGGGGGGGGCAGTCGAGAGCTGCCCCAAGTACACAGAGCACCAGCCCCTCACTGATCCTCCTGCAGGTGGTGAGTCCACAGGAGCCTTGATTATTTAGCAGGGGCTTCAGGTAAAGTGGGGTTATATAAATAAATATTTTTTATTTATTTGAGCTACATAAAATTATTCAATAACGACAACAAAAAGTTATTAAAGGCATATTTGCTGCTCAAAATGACTAGGTAGAAGTTCAAAGAACTTATGAGCACCTACCCCATTTTCTTAAATGAGGATTTACTTTTGACACTAGTTTTATTTTGTTCAAACATTTACTCTTCTGTGTTTGCTATTCATCTTTTAAACAGTCTTATTATATTCTAGCTCCAGACACGAGGCTTAGGTACCAAACCCCACTACTACAGAGGTACCAGCTGGTACCTTTTGTAGAACCTCTCTGACCCCAGACCTACTGCACCTGTTACCTCTCTGACCCCAGACCTACTGCACCTGTTACCTCTCTGACCCCAGACCTACTGCACCTGTTACCTCCCGGCGGCACGGTGGCTGAGTGGATAGCACTCTCGCCTCTCAGCAAGAAGGTCCTGGGTTCGAATCCCGGTCGGACCAGGGCCTTTCTGAGTGGAGTTTGCATGTTCTCCCCGTGTCTGCGTAGGTTTCCTCCGGGTACTCCGGTTTCCCCTACCACTAAAAATATGTCCAATAGTTCTAGCATGCGCCTCCTGTACTGGCGACCCCGCTCCCATCTCTGTGTGGAGTGAGAGACAAATGCCCAAAATTAACAATTGTAAACCGCTTTGTGACTCAGATCTGCAGTGAAAAGGCGGTATATAAATAAAAACTTACTTACTTACTTACTTACTCTCTGACCCCAGACCTACTGCACCTGGTACCTCTCTGACCCCAGACCTACTGCACCTGTTACCTCTCTGACCCCAGACCTACTGCACCTGGTACCTCTCTGACCCCAGACCTACTGCACCTGGTACCTCTCTGACCCCAGACCTACTGCACCTGGTACCTCTCTGACCCCAGACCTACTGCACCTGGTACCTCTCTGACCCCAGACCTCCTTCAGCTGGTACCTATCCTCCACAGCTGTGACTCTGGTTTATTGGACTGGCGCAGACAGGAGGAGGTGTAATCACAGTCAGGAAACACTGAGAGGATAATTACAGCTCAGGAAGCGACTCGTGTCTGAATACGTTTTCAACAGGAAGCAGCAGTATAAGCAGCAGTAGTAACAAAAAAAATTATGAAACTTTCTCCTTTTGTTTATACCAAACGTCTATGAGAACATCTGCACAAAGAGAAAACCTGGAGACAACAGTGATTACTAACCTCTGACCCTGAAACCTTCACCATCACTCCTCTTCATCACTCTCTGCAGGTGCCCGTTGTGACGAGTGCTCTCCTGGTTACCATGGAAACCCCGGTGAGGTGGGGGGGGAGTGTCGTCCGTGTGATTGCCATGGCAACATCGACATGTTGGACCCGGAGTCATGTGACCCTCGGAGCGGCGTCTGTGTGCGCTGCCTGTACCACACTCAGGGGTCAAAGTGCGAGCTATGTCAGCGCGGTTTCTACGGTGACGCCCTACAACGGGACTGCAGGAGTGAGTTGAACCGTTTAAAGCTGGGGTCTGTAACTCTCAGACCAATAGAACTGTTTATGTCACATCTTTAGATCAAAGAGAGGACCACCCTCACTCAGCCAATCAGCTCTCAACCCAAAGAGGGAGATAGTGACCCAGTATAATTTATAGTAGATAAACACCACATTGATTGTAGTTCGAGTGTGTGTAACCTTTTGTGTGTGATTGTGTGTCTACAGAAAGTCAGTGTAACTAATTTGTATGTGATTGTGTGTCTACAGAGTGTGTGTGTAACCTCTTGGGCAGCCTCAATTCCACCTGTGATTCTGGAGACTGTGAGTGCGACCGCAGCAGTGGACAGTGTGTGTGTCTCCCCAACGTTGAGGGACGGTCATGTGACCACTGTGCCCCAGACACATGGGACATGGGCAGCGGAGAGGGCTGCAGACCATGTGACTGTCACCCTCAACACGCCGTGGGGACCTCCTGCAACCAGGTGAGCACCTGCTGACGGGTGAGCACCTGCTGACGGGTGAGCACCTGCTGACGGGTGAGCACCTGCTGACGGGTGAGCACCTGCTGACGGGTGAGCACCTGCTGACGGGTGAGCACCTGCTGACGGGTGAGCACATGCTGACGGGTGAGCACATGCTGACGGGTGAGCCCATGCTGACGGGTGAGCACCTGCTGACGGGTGAGCACCTGCTGTGACGGGTGAGCACCTGCTGTGACGGGTGAGCACATGCTGACGGGTGACGGGTGAGCACATGCTGTCGGGTGAGCACATGCTGACGGGTGAGCACCTGCTGTGACGGGTGAGCACCTGCTGTGACGGGTGAGCCCATGCTGACGGGTGACGGGTGAGCACATGCTGACGGGTGAGCACATGCTGACGGGTGAGCACATGCTGACGGGTGAGCCCATGCTGACGGGTGAGCACATGCTGACGGGTGAGCCCATGCTGACGGGTGAGCCCATGCTGACGGGTGAGCACATGCTGACGGGTGAGCACATGCTGACGGGTGAGCACATGCTGACGGGTGAGCACATGCTGACGGGTGAGCCCATGCTGACGGGTGAGCACATGCTGACGGGTGACGGGTGAGTCCATGCTGACGGGTGAGCACATGCTGACGGGTGAGCCCATGCTGACGGGTGAGCCCATGCTGACAGGTGAGCACATGCTGACGGGTGAGCACATGCTGACGGGTGAGCACATGCTGACGGGTGAGCACATGCTGACGGGTGAGCCCATGCTGACGGGTGAGCACATGCTGACGGGTGAGCACATGCTGACGGGTGAGCCCATGCTGACGGGTGAGCACATGCTGACGGGTGAGCACATGCTGACGGGTGAGCACATGCTGACGGGTGAGCACATGCTGACGGGTGAGCACATGCTGACGGGTGAGCACATGCTGACGGGTGAGCACATGCTGACGGGTGAGCACATGCTGACAGGTGAGCACATGCTGACGGGTGAGCACATGCTGACGGGTGAGCACATGCTGACGGGTGAGCACATGCTGACGGGTGAGCACATGCTGACGGGTGAGCCCATGCTGACGGGTGAGCACATGCTGACGGGTGAGCACATGCTGACGGGTGAGCCCATGCTGACGGGTGAGCACATGCTGACGGGTGAGCACATGCTGACGGGTGAGCACATGCTGACGGGTGAGCACATGCTGACGGGTGAGCACATGCTGACGGGTGAGCACATGCTGACGGGTGAGCACATGCTGACGGGTGAGCACATGCTGACGGGTGAGCACATGCTGACGGGTGAGCCCATGCTGTCGGGTGAGCACATGCTAAAGTTTGAGCACATGTTACCGGTTGAGCACATGAATCTAAAGTATAAAGCTCTAACACATGTTAAATATGACATGTCTGAGTTGAAAGTATAACGCTCTAACATACTGAAGTGTGTGACAGATCGGGGGCCAGTGTTTGTGTAAACCTGGGTTTGGAGGCCGCACCTGCAGCGAGTGTCGAGAGCTGTTCTGGGGAAATCCAGAGGTCCAGTGTCACGGTGAGAACTCTGCTTCAATAATCTACAATAATCTACATCTATATTACTAACATCTACAATAATCTACATCTATATTACTAATAACTACAATAATCTACATCTATAATACTAACATCTACAATAATCTACATCTATATTACTGACAACTACCTATAATACTAACTACAATAATCTACATCTATAATACTAACATCTACAATAATCTACATCTATAATACTAACATCTACAATAATCTACATCTATAATACTAACAACTACAATAATCTACATCTATAATACTAACAACTACAACTAGAAACTTGCAATGGCTTCAGCCATTGCAATTGACTGCGGAACAGATCTAATGTGGAAATCTGCAAAAAAAAATCCTTGAAATCCTTTAAAAGGCCTTGAAACTGTTAAAATACTTGATAGATATTTGAAACTCCTGAAGTCCTTGAAATTGTTGAAACCTTTAAACTCCTGAAATCCTTGAAACTGTTGAAACATTGAAACTCCTGAAATCCTTGAAACTTTTTTAAACCTGGAAACTGTTGAAAGTGTGGAAACTCCTGAAATCCTTGAACCTCCTGATATCCTTGAAACTGGTTAAATTCTTAAACAGTTGAAATCCTTGAAACTACTGAATGTATTGAAAGTGTCCTTGAAACTGAAAAATCCCCTCACCGCTGAAACAATTTGGTTCCTGTAACTAAGGAAACCTGGTCTGTGGTCATTATCTGGTGGTGGTCTGAGTCTTCGTTTGGGTCTTGGTCTGGTGGTATAATGCAACCTATTAGGTTGCATTATACTGGTTTACATGGAAAAATCTCTATTAAGTTGCATTATACTGGTTTACATGAAAAAAACCCTATTAAGTTGCATTATACTGGTTTACATGGAAAAAACCCTATTAAGTTCCATTATACTGGTTTACATGGAAAAAAAACCCTATTAAGTTGCATTATACTGGTTTACATGGAAAAATCCCCATTAAGTTGCATTATACTGGTTTACATGGAAAAATCCCTATTAACTCATTGTGTCCCATTGACGCACAAATACGTCAAAGCAAATAGTAACGTCGTGTGCCATTGACGCATTAATCCGTCAATTGCCTTTTTTGCTATTTTCACGTTCCCAGATGTCTATTGTATCTAATATGTATGGGGATGACTTGAGACCATATTTTATCGAGCCAGCAGGTGGCAGCATTGCTCTCTGAATGGTTTGAAAACATGTAGGTGCACATGTTGTGCCTCTTTTTTCTCAACTTTCTGGTGATTTCTGGTGATTTCAGTAAAACTTCCCTCTACTCGACGGAGGGTTACAGGGGAACGAAAAAAGCTATAAACAAAATTCTTTTTGCTGAGGAAAGTAGACAAGTAGACAGTCCATTCTTTTAGAATCTGGTGTCGGATTTCAGATAGTCATAGTACACAATATTCTGTGGGTCTTGAAAAATCAGTAAAAATCATTAGAAATGGCTGGCACTGTGGGAGTACCTGTTCTGAAATAGGCTGGCATTCAATGAGTTAAGTTGCATTGTACTGGTTTACATGAAAAAAACCCTATTAAGTTGCATTATACTGGTTTACATGAAAAAATCCCTATTAAGTTGCATTGTACTGGTTTACATGGAAAAATCCCTATTAAGTTGCATTATACTGGTTTACATGAAAAAAACCCTATTAAGTTGCATGATTACACTGAAGTCCTTGAAACTGTTGAAACCTTGAAACTGTTGAAACCTTGAAACTGTTGAAGTCCTTGAAACTGTTGAAGTCCTTGAAACTGTTGAAGTCCTTGAAACTGTTGAAACCTTGAAACTGTTGAAACCTTGAAACTGTTGAAGTCCTTGAAACTGTTGAAACCTTGAAACTGTTGAAACCTTGAAACTGTTGAAACCTTGAAACTGTTGAAGTCCTTGAAACTGTTGAAGTCCTTGAAACTGTTGAAACCTTGAAACTGTTGAAACCTTGAAACTGTTGAAATCTTGAAACTGTTGAAACCTTGAAACTGTTGAAGTCCTTGAAACTGTTGAAGTCCTTGAAACTGTTGAAGTCCTTGAAACTGTTGAAGTCCTTGAAACTGTTGAAGTCCTTGAAACTGTTGAAACCTTGAAACTGTTGAAACCTTGAAACTGTTGAAACCTTGAAATTGTTGAAACCTTGAAACTGTGGAAACCTTGAAAATGCTGAAGTCCTTGAAACTGTTGATGTCCTTGAAACTGTTGATGTCCTTGAAACTGTTGATGTCCTTGAAACTGCTGAAGTCCTTGAAACTGCTGAAGTCCTTGAAACTGCTGAAGTCCTTGAAACTGCTGAAGTCCTTGAAACTGCTGAAGTCCTTGAAACTGCTGAAGTCCTTGAAACTGTTGAAGTCCTGAAACTGCTGAAGTCCTTGAAACTGTTGAAGTCCTTGAAACTGTTGAAGTCCTTGAAACTGTTGAAGTCCTTGAAACTGTTGAAGTCCTTGAAACTGTTGAATCCTTGAAACTGTTGAATCCTTGAAACTGTTGAATCATTGAAACTGTAGAAATGTCTGAAAGAGCTGAAGTCCTATTAAAATGCATGGGCCTATTAAAATGCATTGCAGAATTCTCAATGCAAATTAATGGCAGAATTCCCAAGCCCGTAGAAAAAAACTGGAAAACTGCAGAACTCTAATTTTTTCTGAAAACTCACAAGTTGTGGAAGCTGAACATGCACAAACTGCAGAAAATGCTGAAAATGTTGAAGAAAATTCTGAAAACTATGAATTTGTGGAAGCCCCATTATAAGTCAATGGGAAAAATCGACCGATTTTTGTCCGATTGCGGAAGAACCGGAAATCGCTGAAGTCCCAAAAGTAATAGCAATAATCTCCCAAACATGTGGAACGTTTTGAGGTATAACTTGTGGAAATTGTTGAAAATGTGAAAGCTGTGAAACGTGTCAAAAATCAGGAAAAAGACGGAATAAAGAACACCAAAACCAATGGTTGACTGCGGAAGGTTCCGCAGTCAATCAATAATCTACATCTATAATACTAACAACTACAATAATCTACATCTATAATACTAACATCTACAATAATCTACATCTATAATACTAACATCTACAATAATCTACATCTATAATACTAACATCTACAATAATCTACATGAATGCTGCCTCTAGCAAGTTTCCCTGGATAAAAGCACACAATCAGACAAAGTTTTAGTTTTTACTCGAGAGAAAATGGCGGCTGCAGCCGACGTATGCCCTGCTCCAGGACCATCTCCGGCTTTTCAGCGGTCAGTGTTTTATTACAAGAAGATTGGTCAGTCCCATTTGGGGACACTTGAGTTATGAGTTCCTTCAACAGAAAAGTACAAATAAGATATGGGACACGCCTAGTATGCAAATAGCGAACACACGCAACAAAAGAATCACTCAACATTTGCTTGCTCTTAGTGATGGGAATAAGAAGCCTAGTGAGGCAATGAGGCATCACAGGTGATTAATATGCTCTAACGCCATCATGTGGACAAAACATGTATAACACTCTTAAGTGCCTAATGATGCATCTGAACCATACGTCTGAACATGGTAGTGTTCCAAATGACGCTTCATTAACTATTTGGGGCTTTCAGTCAATTGTATCAATACAACAAACAAAGAATCTGAAGCGATGCACTTTTTCAAGAAAGTGTTTAATTGAAGAAAAACTCAATTTAAGGTGGATTAATCAAACACAACAAACCCTTTATTTTCCAGGAATAAAATATGTTCACTTTCCCATCACAAAACAAAATAGCTTTCTCCTTTGACACATTCAGCACATTACTACTTGTTTCAGGGATGTTGTTTTCTCTCATTGTGGTGCGGCTTTGCCCGACAGCTACCTTACCAACAATCGCAATGCATCATGGAATACTCCTTCACTCGACGTTGCTTCTAAAGTGTTAGGACACCTTAAGCCCCCATGGGCAGGAGCAAAATCTAGGGTAAATGAACAAATTAAGGACTAGGGTCTGAATTGGGACAGGCCCAATAACACACATTCACACGCTTACAAAGGAACGAAACACAAGGCTTCAAACAGAACCTTCCTTGTTAACATATAAACATAAACCCTTCTGGTATGAAGACTTCACCGACCTGAGGCTAAAGGTGAACTCACCTACAATTATCTACAATTGTATTTATCCACACCTACACTACCGTTCAAAAGTTTGGGGTCACATTGAAATGTCCTTATTTTTGAAGGAAACGCTGTAGATAACTTTAAACTAGTCTTAACTGTAAAGAAATACACTCTATACATTGGTTATGTGGTAAAGGACTATTCTATCTGCAAATGTCTGGTTTTTGGTGCAATGTTGTAATTGCTGCAAATGGAGGATTCTTTGACGAAAGCAAAGTTGGATGTAAAACAAATCTTATTTCAAATACAAATCATTATTTCTAACCTTGTCAATGTCTTGACTCTATTTTCTATTCATTTCACAACGTATGGTGGTGAATAAGTGTGACTTTTCATGGAAAACACTTGAGTGACCCCAAACTTTTGAACAGTAGTGTACGTCTTCACACAGATATGACACAGATGTTATTTATACTGCACTGTTTTTCACACAATGGATGACTTTGCAGAAACATAAAATTCTCCAGCTCATGTTAGCATGGCTAGTGTGATACTTCAGCTCCATGTTTCAGTGATCTCTCCTGCTGCATCCTGCCCATCTTCAGTGTGTCACTATTTTACCCTGTTTGCATTTGACCCTGTATTTGACCCTGTATGTGACCCTGTATTTGACTGTTTCAGCCTGTGACTGCGACCCGGTGGGGGTCTCTCAGCCCCAGTGTGACAGATCTTCTGGGCAGTGTGTTTGTGTGGAGGGAGTGACTGGACCGAGGTGTGACCTTTGCGCTCGTGGATACTCTGGTACTTTCCCCGACTGTCACCGCTGTCATCAGTGCTTTGGCCAATGGGACGCCATCGTGGAGCAGCTGACCAATCAGACGCAGCGCCTCGTGGGGAAGGTGCGCTCCCTTAAGCAGAGCGGGTCTCCAAGCGGGTCGTACCTCCTCAGTCTGGAGCAGAGCGCTGAGGCGGTCAGGAGCATCCTCAGCACCAGCCCTGTGTCTGAGCCTCTGGGAGAGCTACAGGAGCTACTGCAGCAGGCTAGGTACTGTCTTTGAGAGAGCTACATGAGCTACTGCAGCAGACCAGGTATAGCAGTAGCTCCTCTAGAATAAATGAAACAGGACTTAAACTCAGGAAAGTTAATCGTGTTCTGGAGTAACTAAGTACATTCAGAATTTTTCAGTTCAAGTATTTTTCAGCTACTTTTTGATACTTTACTGTTTCTTTTATATATGAAATCACATTGTTTGATTGTTTTTTTGTTGCTATTAAATATTTAATTTAAAGAAACTGTGAAAGTGCATCACTTTCAGTTCGGGGTTGCAAGCCCAACCCCGAACTTAACTGCCCCTCCCCCACAGTGAGCTGATGCAGTCCCTCACAGAGACCCTGAATTCTACTGAAGCAGCTTTAATGCCGACATCTGAAGAGGAGCAAGAGGTCCACAGCCGTCTGGACTCCCTGAACTCTGACTCAAACAAACTTCAGCGAACTGTGGAAGAGCTGCTGCAGCAGGTGGAGATCATCAGGGAACTCAGACATCAGAGGTACAAGTATAGTATATTCTGAGACGGGTTTGTATGTATACTGAGACAGGGGTGTATGTATACTGAGACAGGTCTGTATGTACAGTATACTGAGACAGGTCTGTATGTACAGTATACTGAGACAGGTCTGTATGTATACTGAGACAGGTCTGTATGTATACTGAGACAGGTCTGTATGTATACTGAGACAGGTCTGTATGTATACTGAGACAGGTCTGTATGTATACTGAGACAGGTCTGTATGTTACTGAGACAGGTCTGTATGTATACTGAGACAGGTCTGTATGTATACTGAGACAGAGGTCTGTATGTATACTGAGACAGGTCTGTATGTTTACTGAGACAGGTCTGTATGTATACTGAGACAGGTCTGTATGTATCCTGAGACAGGTCTGTATGTATACTGAGACAGGTCTGTATGTTACTGAGACAGGTCTGTATGTATACTGAGACAGAGGTCTGTATGTATACTGAGACAGGTCTGTATGTATACTGAGACAGAGGTCTGTATGTATACTGAGACAGGTCTGTATGTATACTGAGACAGGTCTGTATGTATACTGAGACAGGTCTGTATGTATACTGAGACAGGTCTGTATGTATACTGAGACGAGGTCTGTATGTATACTGAGACAGGTCTGTATGTTTACTGAGACAGGTCTGTATGTTTACTGAGACAGGTCTGTATGTTTACTGAGACAGGTCTGTATGTATACTGAGACAGAGGTCTGTATGTATCCTGAGACAGGTCTGTATACTGTATGTGTTTATTCTTTGTGTGTGTTCAGGAGCCACAGTCTCTGTGAAATAAGTACTTCCGTCAGTCCCAGGCGTCTGAAGGCCGTGTGAATGCCTCCACTCTGGACCAGAACAGCACCGTGCAGAACTCAGTGAGACTGCGGCAGCTGACGGAGGTCACACTGAACTCCACGGCTCTGGACTTCCTCCAGAAGCAGACTGAACGTGCTCAGAAGCTGGACGACCTCGCCGGCGACATGCACCACCTGGACGTGTCAGAACTCAGCCTCCAGGTATCAGAACCCTGATAATAACTGTTTGTATGTGTTGTGTGTCAGTGTGCATCTGTGTGTGTCAGTGTGTACCTGTGTGTCTGTTCCACATTTAGCAATTTAAGTGAAATGTGCTATAAAACACAGCTATAGAATGTGCTATATAAACCCAGTTCCTTCCTTTCCAGATGTGTGGCAGTGCGGTGTCCCAGGAGGCCTGCTCCTCCTCCTCCTGTGGAGGTCTGGGGTGTGTGGATCCTGAGGGGAGACTGTGTGGAGGAGAGAACTGTGGAGGTTTCCTCACCACAGCCAAGAACATCTGGACCAGAGCACAGGACTCTGAGCAGGAGATCCTCCGAGCCATGGAGGAGGTGGAGGAGCTGTCCAAGAGGGTAAGGAGGAGTCCTAAAGGGTGAGGAGTAGGAGGAGGAGCCTGTCCAGGAGGGTAAGGAGGAGTCCTAAAGGGTGAGGAGTAGGAGGAGGAGCTGTCCAGGAGGGTAAGGAGGAGTCCTAAAGGGTGAGGAGTAGGAGGAGGAGCTGTCCAGGAGGGTAAGGAGGAGTCCTAAAGGTTGAGGAGTAGGAGGAGGTATCGAGGAGCGTGAGGAGGTTTAAAGTCGATGCAAAAGTGGGGAATGTTGGGGGAGCCGTAACCGTGTGTTGAATTGTGTAACTGTGTTCAGGTTGCGGAGGTGAAAGTGAAGTCTGACGAGGTCAGAGGTCGGACTCTGGACGTTCTGCTCAAAACCAACAACACAAAACTTCGAGTTGATCAGAGCAACGAAGACCTACGAGAACTCATCAGACAGATACGAGACTTCCTCACCCGTAAGTACACACAATACACACAGACGCACAAATACAACACCGCAGGTATGGACCCTGACCCTCACTCTGACCCCTCACCCTCACTCTGACCCTCACCCTGACCCTTGCAGAGGATTCGGCTGACCTGGAGAGCATCGAGATGGTGTCTAACGAGGTCCTCCAGATGCAGATGCCTCTGAGGCCTGAGCAGCTGCAGAACCTGACGGAGGAGATCCGGCTGAAGGTGGAGGAGCTGGGGAGTGTGAGGCACCTCCTGCAGGAGAGCACTGAGGAGATCCTGAGAGCAGAGGGTCTGCTGAAGCAGGCGCGCCAAGCCAGGTACCAGCCGCCTCTATCTGGTACCGGCCTCCTCTATCTGGTACCAGCCTCCTCTATCTGGTACCAGCCTCCTCTCTCTGGTACTAGTCTCCTCTCTCTGGTTCCAGCCTCCTCTCTCTGGTTCCAGCCTCCTCTCTCTGGTTCCAGCCTCCTCTCTCTGGTTCCAGCCTCCTCTCTCTGGTTCCAGCCTCCTCTCTCTGGTACCAGCCTCCTCTCTCTGGTACCAGCCTCCTCTCTCTGGTACCAGCCTCCTCTCTCTGGTACCAGCCTCCTCTCTGGTACTAGCCTTTTCTCTCTCTGGTACTAGCCTCCTCTCTCTGGTACCAGTCTCCTCTCTCTGGTTCCAGCCTCCTCTCTCTGGTACCAGCCTCCTCTCTCTGGTACCAGCCTCCTCTCTCTGGTACCAGCCTCCTCTCTCTGGTACCAGCCTCCTCTCTCTGGTACCAGCCTCCTCTCTGGTACTAGCCTCTCTCTCTCTGGTACCAGCCTCCTCTCTCTGGTACCAGCCTCTTCTATCTGGTACCAGCCTCCTCTCGTTGGTACTAGCCTCCTCTCTCTGGTACTAACCTGGTACTAGCCTCCTCTCTCTGGTACTAGCCTCCTCTCTCTGGTACTAACCTGGTACTAGCCTCCTCTCGTTGGTACTAGCCTCCTCTCTCTGGTACTAACCTGGTACTAGCCTCCTCTCTCTGACTGGTACTAACCTGGTACTAGCCTCCTCTCGTTGGTACTAGCCTCCTCTCTCTGGTACTAGCCTTTTCTCTCTCTGGTACTAGCCTCCTCTCTCTGGTACCAGCCTCCTCTCTCTCTGGTACCAGCCTCCTCTCTCTGGTACCAGCCTCTTCTATCTGGTACCAGCCTCCTCTCGTTGGTACTAGCCTCCTCTCTCTGGTACTAGCCTCCTCTCTCTGGTACTAACCTGGTACTAGCCTCCTCTCTCTGGTACCAGCCTCCTCTCTCTGGTTGCAGCTTGGAGGCCTTGCAGGTGAAGGACTCTGCAGAGAAAGTGAAGGAGGTTCTGGACGCGGCACAGGACGCTCAAAGTGCGGCCTCCAGCGCCATCTCGCAAACCACAGAGAACATCGAGAGGACGGACCGCCTGCTGTCCAAGGTCTGTCTCTGTGTCTATCTCTCTGCCTCTGTGTCTGTCTCTGTGTCTGCCTCTGTGTCTGCCTCTGTGTCTGCCTCTGTGTCTGTCTCTGTGTCTGCCTCTGTGTCTGTCTCTGTGTCTGTCTCTGTGTCTGCCTCTGTGTCTGCCTCTGTGTCTGTCTCTGTGTCTGCCTCTGTGTCTGCCTCTGTGTCTGCCTCTGTGTCTGCCTCTGCCTCTGCCTCTGTGTCTGTCTCTGCCTCTGTGTCTGTCTCTGTGTCTGTCTCTGTGTCTCTGTGTCTGCCTCTGTGTCTGTCTCTGTGTCTGCCTCTGTGTCTGTCTCTGTGTCTGCCTCTGTGTCTATCTCTGTGTCTGCCTCTGTGTCTGCCTCTGTGTCTGCCTCTGTGTCTGCCTCTGTGTCTCTGTGTCTCTGTCTGCCTCTGTGTCTGTCTCTGTGTCTGCCTCTGTGTCTGCCTCTGTGTCTGTCTCTGTGTCTGCCTCTGTCTCTGTGTCTGCCTCTGTGTCTGTCTGTGTCTGCCTCTGTGTCTGTGTCTGCCTCTGTGTCTGCCTCTGTGTCTGCCTCTGTGTCTGTCTCTGTGTCTGCCTCTGTGTCTGTCTCTGTGTCTTTCTCTGTGTCTGTCTCTGTGTCTGTCTCTGTGTCTGCCTCTGTGTCTATCTCTGTGTCTGCCTCTGTGTCTGCCTCTGTGTCTGCCTCTGTGTCTCTGTGTCTGTCTCTGTGTCTGTCTCTGTGTCTGCCTCTGTGTCTCTGTCTCTGTGTCTCTCTGTGTCTGCCTCTGTGTCTGTCTCTGTCTGTCTCTGTGTGTCTGTCTCTGTCTGTGCTCTGTCTCTGTGTGTCTCTGTCTGTCTCTGTGTCTGCCTCTGTGTCCTCTGTGTGCCTCTGTGTCTGTCTCTGTCTGTCTGTGTCTCTGTGTCTGTCTTTCCTCTGTGTCTGTCTCTGTGTCTGGTCTCTGTGTCTGCCTCTGTGTCTGTCTCTGTGTCTGCCTCTGTGTCTGTCTCTGTGTCTGCCTCTGTGTCTGCCTCTGTGTCTGTCTCTGTGTCTGTCTCTGTGTCTATTCTCTGTGTCTGCCTCTGTGTCTGTCTCTCTGTCCCTCTGTGTCCCTATCTGTGTCTGCCTCTGTGTCTGTCCTCTGTGTCTGTCTCTGTGTCTGTCCTCTGTGTCTCTGTGTCTGCCTCTGTGTCTGCCTCTGTGTCTGTCTCTGTGTCTGCCTCTGTGTCTGTCTCTGTGTCTGCCTCTGTGTCTTGTGTGCCTCTGTGTCTGCCTCTGTGTCTGTCTCTGTGTCTGCTCTGTGTCTGCCTCTGTGTCTGTCTCTGTGTCTGCCTCTGTGTCTCTGTGTCTGTCTCTGTGTCTGTCTCTGTGTCTGTCTCTGTGTCTGTCTCTGTGTCTGCCTCTGCCTCTGTGTCCTCTGTGTCTGTCTCTGACTTTTTGAGCACAAGCTCCTTGCCTCTTGAAATCCAACAGACCTGATCATGTCAGAGTTAATGGCTTAAATGTATTTAAGATTAAAAGTAGTACTTAAATACAAGCTATGAAACTTGTTTCTCACGGTTTGTGTGGTTGGATAAAAAAACGCATACATCACTTTTCATTGCACACAAAGAACTAAATCATAATTATTTTATTTTATTCCAGGTTGTGATGAGTCCACCGTAGAAAAGACAGTCAGAGGCAGACGTCCAGGCACCTGCTGTTACTGCTGTTACTGCTGCTGCTGTTGTCACTGTTACTGCTGCTGCTGTTGTCACTGTTACTGCTGCTGCTGTTGTCACTGTTACTGCTGCTGCTGTTACTGCTGCTGCTGTTACTGCTGCTGCTGTTACTGCTGCTGCTGTTACTGCTGCTGCTGCTTTTGCTGCTGCTGCTGTTACTGCTGCTGCTGCTGCTGTTACTGCTGCTGCTGCATGTCTTCAGAAAATGAGTTGTGTTCTAACTATCCATGACTTTTAATTAATAAAACAAATGAACATATTGGTGGTTGTAGTTTATATCGTAATCCACAGAAGCTGGAGGTGATGGAAATGGATGAAGAAATGATGCCTCTGGAAGACAGCTGCCTCTGGAAAAGAAATTCACACAAAAAAATCATTAATTTAAACATACCCGGTTCTTCTGGGATTAAAATGAGCCTTTTGTTACAATCAGACATGTCGACATATATGTTCATATACATGTACTGTCCCAGTCAAATTAATGAATATAAATACACAGTAGTAGAGTAGAAACAGACGCTCTGAGGAGGAGCAGAAGTACGATGCCTTTACAAACACACACATGAACTTAACATGTCAACAGTAAATGTAAATACATGTCCAGTCTTTAACAGGAGGCTGGTAGAGTGGTGTTATGACCAGTTAAGGACCCACACCAGTCATAACAGGGATATGTGAAACAATCATTGAAACACAGAGTCACTTAAGGAGTTTGGCAATGTCTTTATTTAAGAGCCAAACTAAAAAGAAATAACAGTGGTGGGAGGAGTGGCGTCGCCCAGTTGTGCCAAAAGAACAAAAGTAAAATATAACAAAAGAGGCCTAACTCACAGGCTAGTCTAATAAAAGAAATGAAATAAAAAATGTCTATTCTGTTTTATCTAAAGAAAAGTGGAGTAGAACTCAAAACAACAAGGGTGGTCACAACTGATAAGCTAGGGAATCTAACAAAAGTATCTACGTGTTGTAAACGTAACTTAGCACCAAACTCACCTAACCAAACCTCCACACAGAAACAAATTAGGCTACCACCTGGTAGCTTCTGGCACCTGAGAGAGAGAGCCGCCCAAGACACTCCCCGTTTAAATACTCTCCAATTTGCCCCCACTCCACCAATCATGCACCATCCTCCTCCAGGGCACGCCCACAGCACCTTCACACAGAAGCAGAAGGGAGAGAACAGCAGCACACAGGGAAAGACAACTCTGATGCACGTAACACCCCCACCCTTATAAATTCGAGCAGGGTTCGAATATGGCCAGTGGACATCAAGGGACTCTAGAAAGTGCATCAGCAACTATGTTCTCTGATCCTTTTTTGTGCTTTATTACCAGGTTGTAGTTTTGCAGGATCAATGACCATCGCATTAGGCGTTGATTGTGGTTATACATTCGTGAGAGGAATGTAAGAGGGTTGTGATCCGTATACACGAGGGTGGCCTGGGAACCAATATAAATTTCAAAGTGCTGCACAGCCAATAGCAGAGCGAGAGTTTCCTTTTCAATCGTGGAGTACTTTAATTGATGCTTGTTGAACTTACGTGAAAAGTAACTCACCGGATGATCGATGCCCTGATCACCTTCTTGAAGGAGAACTGCTCCTGCCCCCGCCATGCTGGCATCCACCTCTAGCTTGAATGGCCGCTGAAAGTCTGGAGCTGACAAAACAGGAGTGCAACACATCATAGCCTTTAAGCTCTCAAAGGACTTCTGACACTCCTCGGACCATACAAATGGCTTGGCAGGACTGGTGAGGGCAGTCAGGGGGGCAGCAACTGTGGAGAAGTTTTTACAGAACCTGCGATAGTATCCAGCCATCCCAAGGAATCGACGTAGCTCCCTTCGGGCCGTTGGAGTGGGGAAGGCAACGATCGCAGCGATTTTGGCCTCCACAGGGCACACCTTTCCACTGCCAACCTGCTGACCCAGATACTGCACCGTGCCCTGTCCGAATTCACATTTTGAAAGGTTCAGTGTTAAACTTGCAGCAGACAGACACCCAAAAACCACCTTCAATGTCGCCACATGAGTTTCCCAATCAGGGGTGAAAATCACAATGTCGTCCAGATATACTCTACAATGGGGTACGCCTCCCAACACTTTGTTTACCAACCTCTGAAAAGTCGCCGGGGCGTTGCAGAGACCAAATGGCATGACTGTGTACTGGAGGAAGTAGTCTGGAGTCACAAAAGCTGAGATTTCAGAAGCATGGGGGGTTAACGGAACCTGCCAATATCCCTTCAGCATGTCGAGTTTACTCACAAAGGCTGCAGGACCAATCTCATCGATGCAGTCGTCAATCAATGGCAGGGGATGCGCATCGGGCACTGTCACTGCATTGACTTTTCGGAAGTCTGTACAAAACCTGGGGCTCCCATCAGCTTTTGTCTCAAGGAGACAGGGGGAACTCCATGCACTTTAACTGTGGACAGCAAGTCCATTGTTGAGCAGATATTCTGCTTCTTTCTTCAGTATCTCCCGTTTAGCAGGACTGACCCTGTAAGCGCGCTGCTTAATCGGTGCTGGGTTAGTCAGGACTATGTCGTGCGAGATAACAGTAGTCTGTGAGGGAGTGTCACTGAACAGCGTTGGAAAGTCCAGTATGACCTGAGTGATGTCATCACTTTTGTCTTTGGGGAGATCTGACAAATAACTGGTCAAGTTTCTCAGGACTTGGCTGTTGCTTAGCCTAGCCCCCTGGGGTGTAGCGCTTTTCATGAGCAGGCCATCCTCTGACTCCGTACTCACCCCTACATAAGCAGCAACAGGAGATGTCTTCTCGTTGCCACAGGCACTGGCCGGTGGTTGCTGCTCACCCCGTGTGCTGTAGAGCTTCAACATATTCACATGGCAGACCCTGGAGCGCCGCCTTCGGTCCGGTGTGTGAATGACGCAATTTGTGTCACTCAGCTTCTGGTCTACAACATAGGGGCCAGCGAATTTAGTGGACAATGATGAGCCAGGTATTGGCAAGAGGAGCAGAACCTTGTCTCCAGGCTGGAAGCTGCGAACAGCCTTCCTGTCAAAATGCTGCTTCATTTTGATCTGGGAGGAGGCCAAGGCCTCTTTAGCTAGGGCACAAGCTTGCCTTAGACGATCCCTCAGCGTAGTGACATACTCTGGGATGTTTCTGACAGTCCTCTGAGGTGTAATGAGGTGCTCTTTTAGGATTTTCAAAGGACCTCGGACCTCATGGCCAAAGACTAGCTGGGCTGGGCTGAACCAACGACTCCTGTACAGCTTCTCTCGCAGCGAACAGTACAAGGGGCACACTTTCATCCCAGTGTCTTTGTGACTCAAAGCAGTGCTTCCTCAACATGGACTTCATTGTTTGGTGGAACCTTTCGAGCACACCTTGACTCTCTGGGTGATAAGGACTAGAAGTCACTTGTTTGATGCCCAATGTGTGCAGAGCGTGTGTAAAGACCTTTGACTTGAAGTTGGTTCCCTGGTCACTTTGGATGACCTTCGGTAGACCAAATGTTGAGAAGAACTTTACCAGAGCTCTGACGATGACCGGAGACGTGATCTTCCGCAGAGCAACCGCCTCGGGGTACCTGGTGGATGCACACATAATTGTAAGCAGAAACTGATTTCCCGTCTTAGTTCTTGGCAGTGGTCCCACACAGTCAATAATGACCTTCTCAAAAGGCTCACCCATTACCGGTATAGGGGACAGCGGCGCAGGGGGAATCACCTGATTTGGCTTCCCTGTCATCTGGCAGACATGACATGTGCGACAGTAGTCAACTACATCAGACTTTAGTCCAGGCCAGAAGAAATGTCTGAGCAGCCTATTGTAGGTTTTCGCAATACCCATATGTCCTGACCACGGATTGTCATGGGCTAAGGACAGTACCTGGGCACGATAGACTTTGGGCACCACAACTTGATACAGAACTTTTTCATCTCCCGTGCCGGTGACATCGCTGCTCCAGCGGCGCATGAGTAGTCCCTCGTCCATAAGGTATCCCACTTTGTTGGCTCTGCTCCCTTCCTGTTCAACAACAGAGAAACATGTTGAAAGTGATGAGTCACCTTTCTGGGCTGTGATGAACGCCGCTCTTGTGGCTGGTAGCGGGATCGCATCCAGAGCAGCTGGAGTCCTTGATGTGACATCTGGTTTCGCTTGGAAAAACTCTTCAGTAGCAATGAAACTGTCGGACAGGTCAACAGTGTTCTTAGATTGGGACCTGGTCACAGCGCATGCTGGAAATACGTTTGGGGACTCAAGCTCAGTGCTCTGCTCAGTGCGCTCAACCAACTGTGGAACAGGGACCACTTTACTGCCTGCTAAATCGTTGCCCAATATGAAGTCGATGCCCCTGATTGGCAGGGCAGGGAGTACAGCGACTTTCACAAGACCTTTAACCAATGCGGACCATAAGTACACATCGTGTAGAGGGGCTGGGATAAAACTCATCCCTACTCCCTGAACAACGGCGCTAGCATGACATGAAGTCTCATCTGAGAGTGGAAGTATACCAGCTCTGATGATGGACTGAGAACCCCCTGTGTCTCTCAGAATGGTCACTGGTCTCCGGTCACTACCGCTCCCTGTCATAGCAACGTAACCGTCTGAAACAAACGGTCTAAACCAGGAGTCAACCTCAGCGCACTTAGGGTTCAGAGTGTTCAATAACGGGGGGTTAGAGCTGATCAAACCAACACCTTTTGGCTGTGATGGCTGTGGCTTATGCATGCGCTTCAGTGTCAAACAATCAGCCACTACATGACCTTTTCGGTGACAAAAGAAGCACTCACGCTCCTGTCGTGGGGGAGACCTTGTGAGTTTGGTCCTTTCCGAGGATCCAATCCTGTCTGGACCAGGAGTCATAGGACGGGCCACCCTGTCCGAACGGGGAGAGACAAAGATATTTTTGTGTGTTAGTACAAATTCATCGGCGAGCACAGCCGCTTTGGATAGTGTGGTCACCTTCTGTTCGTTCAGGAACAGTGACATTTTATCAGACAGCGTGTTCTTGAAATCTTCGAGCAGAATTAACTGCCGGAGGGACCCAAAGTCTCTCACGTGATTTGCTGCACACCATTTGTCAAAAAGCAGCCCTTTCTCCCGTGCAAACTCTACAAATGTTTGACCATTTGCCTTCCTGTGCTCTCTGAACTTTTGCCTATAGGCCTCTGGGACCAGCTCATATGCACGTAATATGGACCCCTTTAAAGTGTCATAATTTAAACTCTCGTTCAGAGACAGAGAGGACACAACTTCTTGTGCTTTGCCCACTAGCTTGCACTGCAGAAGTATAGGCCACATGTCTTTGGGCCAGTTGAGTGCAGTAGCAATCCTTTCAAACGCACCAAAATAGGCATCGACTTCCCGTTCACGGAAAATCGGAACTAGGGCTATGTTTTTTGTGACGTCGAAGGAGTGCTTTGGATGCCCCGCTTCAGCCTGTGAAGCGGGTTCAGATCTGTGAGAATCAACTTCTGCAGCTGTAACTCTCATTGCCTCCAACTCAAGCTGACGTAACTTCACCTCTTTTTCAGCTTGTATCTCAAGACTGCGTACCTGCAACTTGAGCTCGTAGTCTGCCTTACGCACCTTCTCCTCTGTCTCAAGCTGAAGACGAGCCAGGCAAAGCTTAATCTTGGCGGTGGAACTGGCTTGGCCTTGTTCGGTCCCAGGCGGAAACACACCACTCACCCCCGCATCTGGAGAGAAAGGCTCAAAACGAGGGAGGGTTCCCGGAGGGTTCGCCACCTCCCTTACTCGTACTGGAGTGACCTCCGTCACCACATCCTGTTCAGAAAGAACATCCTTTTGGTCGTCCTCAAACCCCTCCGAAGCCACTTCACCATGCGGGTCACTGGGGTTGGGAGACAGGATTCCGAGAGTGATCAGCCCCGCAATGAGTACCCGCTTAATCTCTCTCTTAAGGCTCTGTTTCTGGACAGAAACACCAAAGTGAGCCGCAATGCACAAAAGGTCGTCTTTGCGACACCGGTCAAGGATTTCCAGAGAGGGAGTCTCAATGAAATCCTGTAGAATAAACACCATGATTGCTCTCTCTCTCTAAACACTAAAGAACACACTGAGACAATGATTGTTTCAAATGATCCCGGACGAGCCCCCACTTTTGTTATGACCAGTTAAGGACCCACACCAGTCATAACAGGGATATGTGAAACAATCATTGAAACACAGAGTCACTTAAGGCAGTGTTTTTCAACCACTGTGCCGCGGCACACTAGTGTGCCGTATGATATTGTCTGGTGTGCCGTGAGAAATTCGTCTACTTTGTCTAAAAATAACTGCATTCGCTGTTGACGAGCGGTGACTTGTTTTGAACTGTGAGTAACCATGTAATACTTTTTCAAATCAGTAGATGGCAGCAGATAGCTAAGTACTTTGAAACTGAAAAATTGGATGCGACCACTGGCTACAGGTCAGCATTGTGGCGAGAAAGGTAAAATTGGATGCGACCAACAAATGTGGGAGGGAGCGAGACAAGAGCTTTGTGGCGAGTGAGAAGTGAAAGTGATAGAGACGTTTTTGAAAATGAATTATGCCGTTTCTGAACAGGATTAACATCCTCCGCTCTGCCCCGGGGTAGCTGTGGCCGCGTTGTAGTGGTTTAACTATGAAATGTACAATTTTTGTACAACAGCTCTCGCGAACGCACTTCTGAACTGGGTACCGAGCGCAGACCATAGTCGAGTGGACAGAACCACAGACATGCGGACCGGACAGAACCATGGACTCGCGTTCAGGACCTCCCGTGTCCCTCATCCAAAACTCCTGAATTTAAAGCTCGGATACCAAAATGTTTCCCATGCACTAACAATGCATGTTCTTTGTGTGAGTTATTATTTGACTATTTGGGCAGAGAGTGGATTTTCTTAGTTTTTTTCCACACAGTTAGTGCCACTTTATTCCCAAACTCTTGTTAAAGAAGCTATACCCGATTTTTTTTCTAAGTAGTTCATAAAAATGCTTTTTACTACATACAAGTTGTATCATAATACATAATTTAATTGAAAACTTGAGGTCATTGATTCCACTGTGTATGAAATTCAGGCAGTGAAAAGTGCTGAGTATAGTCTGAGCGGGCCGCTCGTTCTCCTCCGCTCACAGAACAAGAAGTGACCAGCCTGCGTCCTCTAGCCTCTACAGCGCTGCTTAACACCAGGGCTTCGACTTCAAAATTTTAATATAATTCTAAAATAAAAAATATATACATATTTGAACAAATATTAGACAACCCTTATAATTAGAAATGTATTTAATGACTGCAAATAAAATAGTTAGCTCCCAAAGGTTTCACCGGGACGTGCTAGGCAGGTAACAGCTAAGCTAGCTAGCTGTTTCATGGTAACTTCCGGGTTTTTCGCGATCGCTTTTTGTCACTTTAAAACAGTATTTTTGTCATGAAAACGTTGACAGCAAATTCTGAAATCGTCCGTGCATGTGTGTTAAGGATGTATCTGTATACTGTATTGTCCGATTGACGTTTAATGGTGTTGATTGATTGATTGATATGTATTTGTTTATTGAGCGTGGCTAGCTCCGCTAGCTTCTCTACACAGACAAGTGTGCAGAAAAACTGCACAATGTAGTGACAGGCGCTGATAGCTTGTTGTACTTGCAAAGTAATGGCAGTATTTTACACACCTGAATTACAAAA